AATGCAGGTTTGAGCTGTGAGGATCTGCTTATACACAGTCCTTACACGATGCATCCATGGATGCAGAACTGCAGATGCAGGGAGCCAACAAGGTACTTGAACACCTGCAGATTTCAGAGTCCACCAGCAGTCCTGGAACCAAGCCCCAAGAGTACTGAGGGATGGTTGTGTATGTTTTGCCTATCAATGTTTTCTTAAAATTACGAACATTGAATTGATGAAACTGAAAGGGTACAAACTTTCATTTTTAAGTTCTGGGCGTGTAATGTACAGCATGATGATTGCAGTTCATGATGCTATATTACATACTTGAAAACTGCTAAGAAAGTAAATGTTCTTACAACAGCAACAACAAAAGGTAATTGTATAAGGTGGCAGAAGTGGTCGCTAACCTTATTGTGGTAGCCATTTCACAATATATACAGATTCCATCAGAAATAAATAAAGGGCATTTTATATATTGAAATTCCTCCATTAAATTAATAGATAGATATTGAGCTTCAAAAATGCCAATATTTGTATTAGCTTCTGAGAGTAGAATTCTGCCTCATGAAGTCTAGAGGGAAAGTACGAACAAATGTAAAATTATACAGTTGGTGACGGCTATAGAGGAGAGGTTTATGGTGCTGCAGCTGGTTTGATAGGAAGACGTGGCTTAACCAGGAAGGAGGGGAGGGCTTCCCCGGAACACTAAAGATTCTTTTGAGCCTACTTCTGGAGGAGGAGACAGTGAGGGAGACAAGGCTGGGGGCAGGGCAGCGGCCAGACGTCCAGGCAGAGTCAGATGGTGTTTGGATTAAAGGATTTGCAGTGAAGATAAAAACAGGACTTTAGTTAAGAAGGAAAAAAAAAAAACAGAGAGGAAGTTAAATCTGTGTGATTAATGATGGATACAGTGTTGAGTTGATGGAGATGCAGATGTCAATACAGCTGAGATGTGAATTAATGTTGTGACTGAGGTTCAACCACAAGGCTGAAAAGGAAACCAGAATAATCTCCTAGTCTGTCCCTCTGTGGTCCACCGTCTATTTTATTTTTTTTATAATTTTATTTATTTATTTATGACTATGCTGGGTCTCCATTGCTGCACAGGCTTTTCTCTGGTTGCAGTGAGTGGGGGCTACTCTAGTAGTAGTGTGAGAGCTTCTCATTGCTGTGGCTTTTCTTGTGGAGCACAGGCTCTAGGCACACAGGCTCAGTATTTGCAGCACATGGGCTCAGTGGTTGTGGCTCCCAGGCTCTAGAGCACAGGCTTAATAGTCACCATCTGTTATTGAAATTGGCTGTACTATTTGCTTCAGAATGTTTTATCTGAAGGTGGTGGTGGTGGTGGTGGTGGTGGTGGTTCAGGTACTCACTCATGTCTGAGTCTTTGTGACCCCATGGACTGCAGTACGCCAGGCTTCCCTGTTCTTCACCATCTCCTGGAGCTTGCTCAAACTCATGCCCACTGAGCTGGTGATGCCATCCAACCATCTCATTCTCTGTCATCCCCTTCTCCTCCTGCCTTCAATCTTTCCCGGCATCAAGGTCTTTTCCAATGAGGTGGCTCTTCCCATCAGGTGGCCAAAGTATTGGAACTTCAGCTTCAGCATCAGTCCGTCCCATGAATATTCAGGGTTTATTTCCTTTAGGATTGGCTGGTTTGATCTCCTTGCAGTCCAAGGGACTCTGAGGAGTTGTCTCCAACAACCACAGTTTAAAAGCATCAATTCTTTGGCGCTCAACCTTCTTTATGGTCCAACTCTCACATCCATACATGACTCTTGGAAAAACCATAGCTTTGATTATCTGGACCTTTGTCGGCAAAGTATGTCTCTGCTTTTTAATATGCTGTCTAGGTTGTCATAGCTTTTCTTCCAAGGAACAAATGTCTTTTAATTTCATGGCTGCAGTACCATCTGCAGTGATTTTGGAGCCCAGGAAAATAAAGTCTGTCACTGTTTCTATTGCTTCCCCATCTATTTGCCATGAAATGATGGGATCAGATACCAGGATCTTCGTTTTTTGAATGTTGTGTTTTAAGCCAGCCTTTTCACTCTTCTCTTTCACTTTCATCAAGAGGCTCTTCAGTTCCTCTTTGCTTTCTGCCATAAGGGTGGTATCATCTTCATATCTGAGGTTATTGATATATCTCCCTGCAATCTTGATTCCAGCTTGTGCTTCATCTGGCCCAGCAATTTCACATGATATACTCTGCATAGAAGTTAAATAAGCAGGGTGACAATATATAGCCTTGACCTACTTCTTTCCCAATTTGGAACCAGTCCATCGTTCCATGTCGGGTTCTAACTATTGCTTCTTGGCCTGCCTATAGGTTTCTCATGAGGCAGGTAAGATGGTCTGGTATTCCCATCTCTTTAAGAATTTTCCACACTTTGTTGTGGTTCACAGAGCCAAAGGCTTTAGTGTAGTCAGTGCAACAGAAGTAGGTGTTTTTCTGGAATTCTCTTGAATTTTCTGTGATTCAATGGATGTTGGCAATTTGATCTATGGTTCTTTTGCCTTTTCTAAATCCAGCTTGTATTCCTGGAATTTCTCAGTTCACATACTGTTGAAGCTTAGCGTGGAGGATTTTGAGCGTTACCTTGCTACTATGTGAAATGAGTGCAGTTGTGTGGTACTTTGAATATTCTTTGGCATTGTTTTTCTTTGGGATTGGAATGAAAACTGACCTTTTCCAGTCCTGTGGCCACCACTGAATTTTCCAAATTTGCTGGCATATTGAGTGCAGCACTTTCACAGCATCATCTTTCAGGATTTGAAATAGCTCAACTGGCATTCCGTCACTTCCACTAGCTTTGTTCGTAGTGATGCTTTCTAAGGCCCACTTGACTTCACATTCCAGGATGTCTGGCTCTAGGTGAGTGGTCACACCATCATGGTTATCTGGGTTACGAAGATCTTTTTTGTATAGTTCTATGTATTCTTGCCACCTCTTAATATCTTCTGCTTCTGTTAGGTCCATACTGTTTCTCTTTTATTTTGCCCATCTGCATGAGATGTTCCCTTGGTATCTCTAATTTTCTTGAAGAGATCGCTAGTCTTCNTTAGAAACCCCCCAGGGTCTCTGAGAATTTCAGTGTTTTACACTATTGACCTTTCTAAGTGTATGGGTACCTTAGTATCTTATGTGTAAGTCAGAGTTGAAGCTCTGTTTAAGGATTTAGTGAGGCTGTAGTGGGAGAAGGCAATGGCACCCCACTCCAGTACTCTTGCCTGGAGGATCCCATGGACGGAGCAGCCTGGTAGACTACAGTCCATGGAGTCGAGAAGAGTCGGACACGACTGAGCGACTTCACTTTCACTTTTCACTTTCATGCACTGGAGAAGGAAATGGCAACCCACTCCAGTATTCTTGCCTGGAGAATCCCAGGGACGGGAGCCTGGCGGGCTGCCGTCTGTGGGATCACACAGAGTTGGACACGACTCACGTGACTTAGCAGCAGCAGCAGAGGCTATAGTGAGGCCTGTTCATTATCCAGTAAATAGTCAAACTGGATTGGGGCCTGGGAATGCAGATGGGTCATGCAGCGTTTCTGCCCCCGTGAGAGAGAAGACAGATTTCCAGGACAGATGACTGTGTATTCATGTGACCCTGCCAAATGTCTGCTGTTTCTTCAGCATGGTGCTAGATCCTAGGCCTGCTGACCTCGAGGGTTGCTGCCTTCCTGTAGGACTCAGAGTCGGGACAGGACAGTGAATATATGAAGCTGGACTGAGCTGCGTTCAGCTGTTAGTGGGAAGGCACATGGTAGGGTTCTGACTTTTCATGTTAAAGGTACTGGATAAATAGTGACACATGAAGTGAGGAAATCAGAAAACTCAGTTTAAGAGGTTATGAACAAGTTGCTTTTGCCCTTGATAGATTTTGTCATTTTCCAACAGCTTTATTAAGGTGTAGTGTACATAACAGTAAGCTGCATATATTTTAAAAGTACAGTTTGATAAGTTTGACATACATTTATGTAGCTATTTGAGCCACTTGTTAATTTTTAACATTGTATAATATTTCAGTTAAATATATTAATTTTCTCTTTCCTGAAGTTGAGACTGACAGCTTACAGGCAGGATAACAAACGGGTTAAAGTATAATAATAACATATTTAATATGTTTTATTATAAATACTTCACATATATCTCATTTTCTTGAAGGGCAGTAAAGCAACTTGGTGTTACTTATAGATAAGGAATTTGATATTAAATAATTTGTAAAAAGACATAACAAAACAAAAATTGTCATTTTTTAGCATTTTCTCTGTGTAGAACACTATACCTCCGCTCTCAACAAGTTATAAAGTATCACTTTTTTTATTGATGAGGAAGCCAGGGTTCAGAAATTGGAAACAAGTTGCTTGGATGTCCAGGGGCAGTTGGTGGTTGTCCCAGTTAGCTGTGGTTACAGTACCGCTGTGTAACTGAACGTGACACTATACCTCGGTCTGAAGCAGTAGTGTTTACTCAGCTCATGCATCTGTAGACCAGAGTGGTGGCTCCACTCTGCTTCATCTCTCTCCCAGATAATCCTGCCAGAGGGCCTTGTGCCAGCCCACGCTAGGTGTTTCCAGGGAGTGACAGGAGCAGAGTGACATGCCCTTGTGCATTTGCTGTTGAAGCATTTGGTTGTGTCGTGTCCACTAATATTCCAGTGGCCAAGCCAGATGTAGAGCCATACCCAGAGTCCAGTGTGAGAAGCTGGCGCCTTTGCGGTACACAGAGCCACATGACGGATGGGACGCGAGGGGCACTGAGGCTGGATGCAGGTGGCACAGGGGTGAGTTAGGGTTTTATCCAGATGTCTCCACAGTTAGAGCTGGTGGATTCTCGACTGGCTTTCCACCAGCTTTTTGGTCCCTAAAATCTAATTTTTAAAATAGTTTTTGTTTGGTTTACTTGGTGTTTTGTAATCCAAGCTCTTAATTTCTTCTGTATGACTATAACTATTTAGAGTAAATTAGTAAATTTACTCACGAATGTTTTTCCACACTTGGCTCCTTCAGGCTCGGTTCTGGGTGCAGGTGATGAGGGATTTGCGGAATGGAGTAAAGCTCAAGAAGGTCCAGGAGCGGCAGTACAACCCACTGCCTATTGAATATCAGCTCACCCCATACGAGATGCTAATGGATGACATTCGATCCAGAAGATACACTTTGCGAAAAGTGATGGTAAGTAACAGGAAACTATTCATGGATTCAAATGGTTGGTTTTTGGTAATCTTGTTAAAAATCTTTTCACTATTATGTTTTAAAAATTATTGCTTCTCATAAAATTAATGCATGGTCTTTATAGAAAAGTTGGTAAATATAATAAGCTCAAGAAGAAAAGTTGCAAATGTGTAATTTCACAGTTGAGACAGAAAGTTTGCTAACAGGCTGGTGCATGACCTTCAGTCTTTTTTCTGTCCACTTTATTTGGGCAAAATGGATTAATATTGAAAACTTTGTCCTGTGACCGTTGTTTTCACATAACATGTGAGTGTTTTCACATAACGTGTTTTCCTGTGTCATTATTCAGCATCATCATTTCTAAGTGACTGCCTCTTTCCCAGCTGTAGCTGCACCAGAGTTTATTAAGCTAATCAAGTTGTCTAGTTATAAGCAGGCTGTTTTGTGTAACCTTGCATATAAGTCTTTTTCAAAAGCTCCAGTGAAATCCTGAGTTAAGCTTTTAGACTCGGAACCCTGCTAGCTCTACCTCTGCATCCATTTCAGAGCCCATCATCACCTCTCATTTAGACTATTATTGTGGCCTCCAGGTGGTCCGTTCTTACTCTTGCCCCCAAAACAGCTTGAGTAAACCTGTTAAATTGAAAATGTGACCATGTCATCACCCTGCATAAAACCTTCCACTTCTTTCCATCACACTCACAATAAGCAGCCGTTTTGATCTTGGCCTCAGAGTCTGGTGTGGGTTGCCTCTCAGCCCTCACCTTCTGCCACCTTCCTGGCTGGTCTCCTCTTTACTCCCCTGGTCTCTGCCGCCACCTAAAAGGTCCCTCTTGTGACCTGCAGCTGAGCCCTTGCTGTCTCTCTTGCTGGAGGCCTCTTACACGTCTGTGTAACTCACTTCTCTTCACTTCTCAGGTCTCTGCTCAAACCACCCACTCATTGGAAGAGTCCTTACCTACGTGTGTCCATGGCTCGTGTTGCCATGTATTTTCAAATTTACTCTCTTACAAATACAGGGACGTGGTGAAAACAATTTTTTTGCTCTTTTTGCTGAGCTTATTAGCTAAAATAGTTTTCTTGAGTTATTTAGGGTATTTTATTTGATATATATGTTCATGTTATCTGTGAAATGGGATCCATTTATTTCTTTGTTTCCAATCTGGATGCCTGGTGGTCACCCTGGTTAGAACCTTCAGTTCTTTGTTGAATGGGTGTGGCAAAAGCATGCATCCGTATTGTCGGATTCCTGATTTTAGGGGGAATGCATTCAATCTTTTCGCAAATGACTTTTATCATGCTGAGGAAGTTTCTTTCCAGTCCAAGTTTGTTGTGTGTTTTTATCATAAAAGTGTGTTGGATTTTGACAAATCCTTTTTCTGCATCAATAAAGAAAATCATGTGGGTTCTTTTGTTTCATTCTGTTAATGTGACATATTACATTGAGTGATTTTTCATATGTTAAACCACCCTTGTGTTTATGGGATAAATCCCACTTGGTCATGATGTATAATCCTTTTAACTTGCTGCTAGAGTACTTCCTGATACTTTCTTGAGGATTTTTGTGCCCATGTTCAGAAGGAATTTTATCTACTATTTTCTTGTGAGGTCTTTGTCTGCCTTCATATTGGGGTAAGACTGGCCTCACAGTAAAATGGGGAGTGATGCCTCTTTTTCTAATTTTTGAAACAGTTTGTGAAGGGTGGGACTAATCCTTTAAATATTTGAGTAGAATCCACAAATGAAGTCTTCAGGTCCTGGGCTTATCATTATTGGGAGATTTTTGATTGTGTATTTAATCTCTCTCCCTGTTACAGGTCTGGTTAGGTTCATGTCCTTCCTTTCTTTCCTCTCCCCTCCTTCCTTCCCTTCGTTCCTTCTTAGTCTTGGTAGTTTGTATCTTTATACGAACTTGTCTGTCTCATCTAGATTGTTCTATATGTTTTGTACAATTATCACAGTATTCTCTTGTGGCTTCAAGTTACGGTCTACTGTCCTTTTCTCTAAACCTAAGTGACTTCCTTTAGCATTTCTTGTAGGTCAGGGTTACTAGTGGTGAACTCTCTTAGTGCTTGTTTGCCTGAGGATGTCTTAATTTCTTCTTCATTTTGAAGTAGAGTTTTGCTGGGTATAGTATTCTTGGCTGAAATTGTTTTTGTTTATCTTTAAACATTATCCCACTGCCTTTGACCTCTGTTTTCTGATGAGAAATCACCTGTGAATCTTTTGAGGATTCCTTCTATGTGACAGTCATTTTTTGCTGCTTTCAATATTTTCGTCTGTCAACAATTTGAATATAATGTGTTCTGTTATGGCTCTCTTTGAGTCTTTTTTTTTTTTTTCCTTTCTTTGAGTCTTTTTTTTTTTTTTCCTTTCTTTGAGTCTTTTGCTTGGAATTTATAGATGTGACTCATATGGTAAAGAATCTGCCTGCGATGCAGAAGACAAGTTTGATCCCTGGGTCAGGAAGATCCCCTGGAGAAGAGAATAGCAACCCATTCTGATATTCTTGCCTGGCAAACGTTTCTGTGGACAGCAGAGCCTGGTGGGCTACAGTCCATGGGGTTGCATAGAATCAGACATGACTGAGCAGCTAACACTTTCACTTCATTTTTCTTGGATGAGCAGATTTGTTTTATTATCAAATTTTGCAAGTTTTCAGCCATTAGTTCTTCACATTTTCTTTATCTTTTCTTATATTTTCAGTCCCTGTGGGACTCCTCTTATGTGAATGTTTGTACAGTTTGGAGGTTGTGAGTAGTAAGTAAGGAAAAATGTTACTGCTCTGTGGTACCCATTGTTTTTTTCCTTTTTCTGTCGTTCTCTCTATGGCTAATTCCATGCAGTTCACTTGACTTAAGTTTATAGTGAGCCCCTCTGTAGGGAACTGGGCAGATGGCAGTTCTAATGGTGATCGGTTTTGTGTGGGGTAAATTTTCATGTTTAGTCCAACAGGCTAAGCTTCTAATTAATTCCTTATTATATATATTTGTACCTCCTAAGTGAGAGTGGAAATTCAACTGCTCGTATTTAATCAGTCAAAAACTAGATACATTTTTTAAAAATTTTACTGTTATCAATGTAATGCCACTTTCTAATTTTTTTAAAAACAAATATTGTTGTAAAAAGTAAACATACACAAATAGGATTTTCACATACAGTCTGTATCTGAGGCAATATTTTAAGATGGTCTTAATTTAATCTTCAGGTTTAAAATGCATAACTACACCATAGTAATCCACCTTTTTCTGTATATTTGTGAAGCTGATGGTGGGAATTGAATGACTTAGCCATATTGGATCATGTTCAGAATATTAAATTATAGAAGTACAAAACATTTCAATTGACTTCTTTCAAAGTGTTTTGGTAAAATAATTGTAACAAATAACTTCAAATAAGTCACCTTTAGAAATAACAATGTAGAAACTTAACATCTTTTGTTTAGAAGTGTTATTTTTTTTTAAGGCATTGTGACTCAAAAGTAAGATTAAGTTATGTAACTGTCTTATTTACTTACAGGTCTACAGTTTGTGTTCATTCTAGAAATTATCCTTACAACTCAGATAACTTGTTTCAGAATGTGTTCTGTGTCTATATTAAAAAAGTAATCTCACTGACCCAGTAGTAGAGTGGAATTTGCACACTTTCCCTCCTGCCTATATGGAATAGACTGACTCACGTTTGCACTGGCCTGAGGTTTCTCTCATGAGCAGTGACACACGCTGGATAACTGGGATCCAGGATCCAGCTTCTGACTAGTGAAAACACTGACATTACTGTGCTTGTTTGGGGAATGGAACTTACAACCTTGGCCTTATTTCAGGCATTGTCTTCCTCAACCCTGTTGTGATGGAAAGGACATTAAAATAAAAGCAAGTGAAAAATAGCTGAAAAGACATGTATTATCCTATTCAGGAGTAGAATAGAAGATTCTGATTAAGTTGTTCATACAAGGTTTAAAAAGAAAAATCGTGTAACCTGAGGTCCATGGGTAAAGAGTGCTGTGGCGGGCCTTCAGCTCCACTGGTATAGGCCTCCTTACACCAGGGACTAGCAATCCCAAGTTGGATCGGTTCAGGTGGCTTTCACTTCTGACACTCACATGGGGCATCCAGTCCTCACTGGGGCTGGTGGGGTGGGCACAGGGAAGAGGACCCTGGATGTCAGGAGGCTTGTCATACACCTGAGTGGCCACATTTGCAGGGGGGGTACTGGGTCTGGAGCAGCAGTTCAGGTTCTTTTTTTTTTTTTTTTAGTCAACTTTATTTCTAACTCCATTTTAGTCATTCAGTCGTGTCTGACTCTTTGCAGCCCCATGGACTGCAGCATGCCAGGCCTCCCTGTCTGTCACCAACTCCCAGAGTTTACTCAAACTCATGTCCATTGAGTCGGTGATGCCATCCAACCAGCCATCTCATCCCCTGTCTTCTCCTTCTCCACCTGCCTTCCATCTTTTCCAGCATCAGGGTATTTCTCAGCTGACACAAAAATAGTGACATTAACAGAAAATAATGCAAGAGTATTCAGCAGCAATAAAAAATTAATCAACAGTTGACTAATGACCATGAGCAATTAAAATATATTTAAGACTGGGAGACACATAAGAAAATTGTTCATGCCTTGAAATCTTACAGTTCAGATAAGAAAATACTTCTAAAAAGTTTAACCAAATTTTATGATAATTCTAAAATTTTACATGACATTTCCCATAGCAAAATGTGAAGTTTAAAGAAACCTTCCTAACCTGTCCAAAAAAACAATCAGACATAGGTGATAAAGGAATAACTGAATTAGCCTTTTTCCCTCCAATAAAACTGATGTATTATACAATTATTAGAATATGATAAGATAAAAGAGTGGGTCCCCAAAGTAGAGGGGGAAGTACAGAGGCTTTCCAGGCAATTCATTAATCAAAGCAGCATGCTCATTTTCTGATCTTGAGAAGTTTAAAGTGTTCTTCAGTTTTCAAGATGTATAATTCATTAACATTTGTTTTTCATCATTTATGAGAAGCATAAAGCATGTTGTGCTTTGTGAGAAGCACAACAGAAAATGCCTATTAGGTCTGTCTTTGTTTTCATGTGAGACTGGGAAATAAGTATGACTGACGGTCAGAACTGTGCCTCCTGGGGGGTCAGAGTGTGAGTGTACTAAGGTGTGATTTTGTGGGTTTCTGGAGTTTCCTTAAATTTCTTAAAAAATCTTTGTGACATGTTGTTTTAAAAAGAGAGTATGTTAAAGCAGGAGTCAGACAGACCAGGACTCTGCCAAACTCTGCTTCTTACCAGTTCTATTGATATAGCAGACACCCTCCTTGACCTGAACCTGAATTCTGTCTACAGAACATGAACTGTCCCCAGCCCTTCCCCTTAATTTGTATTCCCAAACTTTGTACAAGGATGAAAACAAGAGGTGAAAGACTTTCTAAATTATATAATAATTAAGCATAGTATTACTTATTCCATTCATAGTCATAATTTTAGAAAGTTTTTGTTGGAAGCATGTATCTTACATATAATTTCCCAGAATAGTAGAATTGCAGTGTGCTTGGCATTTCTTCAGTCCTACAGTTGTTTTTGCTCTGAATCACTCAGCCATTTGCTCTCCATTTTATTGATTTGAAATTTGTCCTTGGTGGAGCCAGATTCCACTGCAGTGGCTTTGAAGTGATGTGTGTGGATGTGTGTGCCCAGAAGCTTGTACAGACAATCGTGTCGTCACATGAGGTATGTGGACGTGTGTACCCAGAAGCTTGTACAGACTGTCCTGTCGTCACATGGATCTTCTGCTTTCTGTCTCTTTTCAGGTGAATGGTGATATTCCCCCTCGGTTAAAAAAAAGTGCTCATGAAATCATCCTGGACTTCATCCGATCAAGGCCTCCTTTAAATCCAGTACGTGGTCTGACACCTCCCCATGGCTGGCAAACATGTGACAACATGTTCCGCCCACAGCCTGTGGCCACAGAACACAGCTCCTGGAGGAGACGCTTTTCTCTCCTGATTGTGAAGCCCGACTGTGAACACAATGCCACGTAGCTTGCGTGTGCGCTGCCGCCCTGTACTTAAGGGTGCAGACACCTCACCTTGGTTACAGGAAATTCACATTGCTGCCTCTTCTTTCACAGTAGCCATGGTCCTCTGTTTGTGGGGTTCTTTCTGGAGACCATGGATCAGGGTGTTCTGATCAGATCTCAGTGTTGGTTTGTGTTTCCTCTGCTCTACACTTACCTCCCCTGGCTCCACAGCCAGCACTCACCAGGGCCTCTCAAACCCCTTGTACATTCAGTAACTTCAGTAACTAGAAAGAAAGGGTATTTCCTTGTTAGTTTGTATATATCTAAAACACAGTTAATCATTCCTCTTATAAATCTTTCTCTAATAAGGGAAAGAGGCCACGTAGGAAATGATCTTAGGAGGGCAGGTTGTGTAGAGCAGAGAGAGCATGGAATCAGAGCCCAGCTCTGCACACCCACGCACAGTGTGGTGAGCGCACGTTTTTTAGCAAATTCATCTTTTTGAGCAAGTTCATCAGCCTTCCCGAGCCTTTATTTCCTCAGCTGCAGACTGAAGTGAATGATCTAAGAAGGTTGTTATGACTTAACTCAAAAACGTTACTTTCAAAAACAGTAATAGAGATGACATACTGCTTGCATTTCAGCAGCTTGCCTGTCATGGTAGCGTGTAGGGAGCATGACAACAGGTCACTGCAGTTGCTTAGTCGTGTCCAACTCTTTGCAACCCGTGGGCTGCAGCATGCCATGACAGTAGTTGGAGCACAGCTGACTCGTTAGCGTGGCTTGAGTTCATGTGCTTGAACCACTGTGCCATCCAGTCATCTTCCTATGGCTCGAAAACTTATCAAGCAGTACGGCAGTCAGTAAGATACAGCTTCATAATACTGTGCTATATGAATGGACTTCAGTAAGAATTATTTAAGGATAACTACTCCAGCTCTAGCTATTACTTTTTTCCTAAGGCCTCAGCCAGAAAACTGAAACCTACTCCACCGCGGCCCCGGAGCCTCCACGAAAGAATCCTGGAAGAGATCAAGGCTGAGAGGAAGCTGCGGCCTGTGTCCCCCGAGGAGACCAGACGCAGCAGGCTCGGTGAGTCCCAGGCGGGAGAGTTGCCTGCCCTAGAAGCACACTTGCCTCACTCCTCTCCCTCCCTGTCTCTCCTTCTCCTCCCCCCGCACACACCCTCACAAGTGATGTTCATCTCGAAATACATGAAGTAGGAAGTTCCTCCCTTAGATGCCAAGTGTAAGGTCACCACACCATGGTGTGGGCGGAGCTCTGCAGATCCCAGGGTATGGTTTTAGGACAGCCCTTCACCTCTCTGAGCTTCCATTCCTTGGTTGGCAGGAAGAGGATACAGATTCCTCCACACGTTCATGTGACTTCCATGTAAGAATGAATCAAATAGGATACTTTATAAACAGTAGTACACACATGGATAAGTTACATTTTAGAAATAGGAATAATAGATACATCAAGTTTCTATTGTCTTAATTATCATTTAAAGTTATGTGTTATGTGATGAGGGACTCTACTGATAGCACTTACTACTAAACTTCCTTTATAGTTATTTTATGTTTTTTATAAGCACACACTGATTTCCATTTAGAGCAAGATCATATTATGACACGTAAACAGCTCTCCTCCAGTTTGTAAAATGAAAGATGCCCAAGATATTCAGGGAGATAGTGTCTGGTAGCACCTGCCTGGGAACGGAGCTGGTGCCGAGACCCTGTCTCCTGGTTTCTCTTCCCATCTCTTCCCTCTCCCACGCCCACCTGGGCCTCAGGTTGCTACCACAGCTCCTTCTTCTTGAGCAGCCACACACTCCCCTTGGTGTGTTTCTAACTTCCTCGGCTCCCACCCTGCGCACAGGCTTCTCTGAAAGTTCAGACCCACATGTGCAGCCAGCCGTCACTGGGCAGGATCTCCTCCCCCCACTTGCAGGACAAGCCCCACCGCAGGTGACCTTACCTGCTTTCCCCCAAAACTGTCTGCCACTGCTCCCATCTCAAAGCCCAGGGCCAAGAATGCAGTGTCCCCTGTGACTGGGTCCAGCAGCCAAGCGTTTGATCTGACTGCTTCTGATCTTCAGGGTCGTCTGCTCCTCTGTCTGCTCAGTTGCACCAGCTCTGATGGCTCCCCCGCCTCCTGTGACTCTCGGTCACTGTGTCTGCTGCTGGGCCGTGGCCACAGGGCCCACTTCCGTCTTGCTGGCTGCTGTGTCCCCATCTGCACTGTAGGTAACAGCAATGGAAAGTGCTTCCCGGGGTGCTAAAGCAATGGGATAGCTTCCCTAGCCAGAGCTGAAGAGTGAGGAGAGGCGAGGTGCACGTATCCCTGTTGATTTTATGCCAGCAAGTGTTTCCCTTTAAAATGATTAAAACAAATCCATATGAGCATGTATATAGTAATGAGCCAAAACTGTACAGGATGTAAGTGGAAAGTTCTTATCCTAGGAGTCGTTGAATGAGCCTGAGGAAGGTCTGTGCATCCTTGCAGTGTAACACATTTGTACGTATTGGGGGTGGTCCATAGTTTTCCCCAGATTTCTAAAGGATGCACAGTCTAAAGGAGCAAGAACCACTATGGAAAAATAAGGAGATGGTATTATAGAATGTCAGCTTAAGACAAGATTTTAAAAGAATTACTGTGTCTTGAGATGGAATAATAGGGTAATAGGAAATATTTCAACAGAACTATAAGGTAAAACCCACATGTTACCCTGAGAAAAGTAAGCTTCATGCTTTACAAGTGTAAATTCCAGTGGAAGCACCTGTAGGGCAGAGAGGAGCAGGACAAAGTGCCAAGTGATGGGATGGTCCTTCTCACACAAGTGCTCTGAACCCAGGGTGAGGGGTGAGCAGGTAGGAGTCCTGCGCACAGGCACTGACCGGAGAGAACAGCCACAGCAGGGGTGCCTGTGAGCCCTGACAGCAGCCAGTCAGGTGTGTGGTGCGGCCAGGGGCCAAGTGTGCGGGAGGCCAGCGGTCCTTGTGGTCAGCAAAGGGACACTGCATGTGGTGTTACATGGCCTCATTGTATACATATTCTTCTGTTTCATTTAAACAAATTAGATACTAGCTAAGAGGAAACCTGCTTTAGAATAATTAAATACCAATTTTGTGTTTAGTTTGTCATACTCTTTTGTTTTATCCTTATGAATTAGTGTGTCACAACAACCAGAATTGAGCTGTTGTTGAAAGTGATTGTTCTATGAGAGTCTTACTTTTAAAATTGATCTTGAACCTTAACTAGAAAATAAGAGATTGGGCTTTTCTTGTTCTGCTGGTCTACACTGGTTCTTACTACACAATTTCACTTTGAGAAGTTTGGATAAAGTTGACAGGATTATCTTGAAGAAAATAAGTTAAAGTGTTAATCACTCAGTCGTGTGCAACTTTTTGTGACCCCGTGGACTTTAGCCCACCAGGCTCCTCTGTCCATGGGATTCTCCAGGCAGGAATACTGGAGTGAGTTGCCGTTTCCTTCTCCAGGGGATCTTCCTGACCCAGGGATCGAACCTGAGGCTCCTGCGTGGCAGGTAGATTCTTTACCATCTGAGCCCATCCTGAAGAAGTTTCCCTAAATATTTTTATAACCTTTCCTCTCCTTGTAATTGCAAATAGAAACCCACTATAGAAATTGGGCAAATGTTTAAAGAAGAAACGCTCCCCGTGATTTCAGCAGCAGCAGCATGCGCCGTGACAGGGCTCGTGTGTCATGTGGCACACACAGGAACTACGTCCTCATGCGGAATCGTGGCAGCAGGACTGTCTTCCCACGTGGGTGAACATGACCCACAGCGTGGTCTCTGAGGATGTGGTGACTGACATGTGTCCAAGTTGTCTTATATTCTTATGTGTCCCTGTTATTTTACAGGCTATTTCCATATTTTTTTCCTATTAAGTCTGAAATTACTGTTCTTGTGCATCAGTCTTTGCTTACAACTGATGATTTTCTTTTTCCTAACACTTTTCTGACATCTCATGCTATGTTGAGATTTGAGGCTGTAAATGGTTCTTTTAACAACATCTGCCAAAAACATATGAAGAGACTTCATTCTGTTTAATATGGGTATTAGAACTCTACACTTGTACATCTGCCTCAGAAGCATGAGGACCTTCGGGTCTGCCACCTTCTGACCACACAGGCACCTGTCTTCCCTGATGGTGGTGAGGTGGGGTAGGATGGATGGAACTGGTAAGAGCTTGGGACTGCAGTGAAAATGGGTAATTCTCACTCTTACAAATATCCAAATTCTTTTATCAGCTTTATTGAGATATAATTTACCTACCATAAAATTCACCCATTTGATGTTTTTTAATGTATATAATAAAATTTTTAAAACAGATGACTTCCAACAGGAAATAAGTTTATTCTTAAGAAATTCCATTTGTTTAACTGTTACTTAGGTGCACTGCTCTGAGCACCTTTTTATTTGGTATGGAAATCGTTTAATTTTTCTAACAATCCCTTGAAATAGGTACCATTATGCCCATTTTACACTTGAAGTAATGGAAGCACAGAGAGGTTAAGTAACTTGTCCAGAATCACAGTGCATGTAAATGGTAGAGCTGAGGTTCAAACTCAGGCTCTCTGGCTCCTGAGGCCTTGCTTTAAGTGCCAGGTCTAATGGCCTACGGTGGAGAATTAGTGATGCTTTGTGATGCTGGTAGTGCCTGAATGAGATTTTTTACAAGATGTTTGACCTGTATGCAGAGACCCAACTTCTCATCCTGAAATAAATTAAGAATTCATTTGTTCTTAAATTTTAAAGATTTTGTATATTCCCTAAAAGCATGTTTTAAAACGTGGCTCGTTTTTTCTTTTGAACTCTTTTATATTTAAGTAAAAAGTCCTATGTTGTGATTCTAAAGCATTTTTATCTTTATCATGCTTTCATTCTTGTTCTTTAAAAGTTGTTTTTTTCTTTTATTGTTACTCTGTTTCAAGTCTTAGTGATACAGTTAAAACTAAGATGCCATATTGCAGATAGTTTCTTGGTGCCTTCTGCCTTAAAGTGTGGAGTGTACCACCGCAGGTCTTGAACCCTCCTCCCTTTTTCCTCCCTGTAAAGCCTAACATCTGAATTATTTTCCTTTTATTGTCTGTTTTCTTTTTTCAGCAATGCGGCCACTTAGCATGTCTTACAGTTTTGACTTGTCAGGTAAAGCACTTTCACACCTGACGTGGGTTTTGTGGTCTCTGTGAAATACATTTCATTCATCTGCTTGTTCAAACATGTCAGAAAAGAAAATTGAAAGGCTTCTTCTAAGCTGTGGTCAGTCATACAAAACAGCCTTTCTTTGAAAAAATAAAACTGTAATAAATCTCTTGCTTTCCAAGGAAGGGCCTGTGAAAGAATCTTGATGCTTGTGGTTGTGAAATGTGCTGCCCATTACACCCAGTCTCATAAGGCAGTGGAGAGTCTAAGAGAACTCCGCCTTCAGAGCCTAGAAACAAGAAAGAGTTTTGACACTTGTTACTCTTTGAAGCATTCATTCAAGCAGCTAAACTCGGAAGTGTCAGCTGCTTCTGAAGATGAGTGCTCCACAGTTAGGGGACGAGAGCCAACTCTATACCCAGGGCTTCTGTGCATGGGGCTTTGTCATGCTGGTGGTGTGCTAGTTAAGAGACTTTGGTTGTAAAATACAATCATGTGTCCTGGGTTTGTAGTACAAGTTTAGAGCCCTTCTTTTAAATAGACAGATTATTAATATGGTGAAACAAGTAACGATTCATGACAAAATTTGATCTGTAAAATCAGCCCCGTTTTCAAATTGAGTTTTAAAACTGTATGTGAGCGAATTTTCAAAGCCAACTTAGTCCCAAATTAAAATGTTTTGCACATTAGAATTTTGGAGTTTGGAAGCTGCTGCTTTCAATGTGAAATGAGGTAAGACATTGGCACTAGTATTTCCTTCCAGAATTTTTGTGTGTGTGCCATGAAATTGTTGGCATATCTTACACACAAATTCATATTTAAAGAACCTGAGAGTTCTAGTATCATATTTTGTCTGAATATTTGCTGAACATCTTCCAACTGCAAAACTAGTTCCCATCTGCTTTTTAAATTTCTGTATATTTGTGGTTCTTTTAGGCATGACTAATATTTCCCTTTCAAGAAACTCAGATACATCAGTCTTCACTTACTACTTCTGACTGACCACTGAAGAGCTTTTTCTGTTTTCTTTATCCATTTGGCAATTTTTATTTTATCAACCATTTGCAAAGTAACTTTGTAAAAAAAAAAAAAAAAAATTGATCTGGAAAATAAACTCAGCAGTGTTTGAGAACCTATATGTTACTGCTGATCTCCAAAAGTTGGCAGTCCATATTAAGATCTGTCTCTTCTAAATACCTACTAAAGGTGGTCCTCCCCAGTGGACTCTAGGAGCAGCTGGCTCCCGAAACACCCTGACTGTAGGCACAGGTGGCTGCCCTGGACCATCTGCATGCCCACACACGTGTAATTGTATGTAGGTGTGTTTGTGTCTTACCAGTTATATGATAGATTCCTGTGCTGGGAAGAAAATTCTTGGTGCTGAGCCTCCTTGATGTGAAGGAGCAACAGGAATTTTGATTTGCTATCCCTGCTAGCCATTTGATTTGCCATCAGTGCTTATCATTTGCCATAATCTATTTTGTACCTTAATGTACTTTGTAGTTTCCACATGCTTCATTTTCTGTTTCTTGTGTTTTCATGTTTTCTTTATGACCTTTTAACTAATCAATTAAAATGTTTCAAATTATAAATCGAAAAGATTGATCCATTCTTCTGACCTAAATACAAGAGCTGGAATGTGTTTCTTCTTTAAGTTGCGACACTAGCAAACTAAGGAGTAAATATTTAAATCTGTAGCATAGATAATGCATGTTAGAATAAGACAGAATTGATATATGTCCTGCTGCTTAGGTATGTTGTAGAAATACTAATCCTTAGTGGAAATCTTAATCCATCAACATTAAGGTAAGTATAATTTATTTTTCTGATGCAAATAAATATACTATCTGTATTTCAGTCATATTTCCTCCAACTAAATAAGGCAGCAGCTGGGTGTATCTAATAGACATAATTATTACACTATGTGAAATATATGTGAAATAGAAGTAATTACATATTTAATACTGTGGTTATGCATTTTAAATTCTGAACCTAAGGCATGTGACTTCTAAAGCTATATCTAGCATCTTGAATAGTTTGCTTACTTATAAATATCATCAGAAATTGTCTTATGTAGAAGAAGTATAAAGTCTTATCCAAGGGTTTGGTTTTCTTATCAGATACATTGAAGTAATAAGGATTTATTCATTTGAATGGAAAAGTATATGTAATCAAACTGCTTAAAAATATCTCTTAAAAGTATGTCTAGCTGGAACTTTTACAAATATGCAGTGTTAGAGAAGATCACACGTACTTAGTCTTACATATGGAGATCACCCTGAAGCCTGACTGTGACATAATGTATTTTTCTATTAATTCCATTTATCTCAAAGCTTTGACCTTAGTATGAGGTTTGTTTCAGTAGTTTGAATCACCGAGCTCAAATACAGTTATGAACCTCAACAAGATCTCCAGGCAGTGAGAGAGCTGTCAGGTAATTTCTCAGATCCCTGTGTTGAGACTGGAAGTAACTCATGGCAGCCACTGTCACATGTGTTCCCAAACCTTCAGGGTAGGCATTACCCTCACAACTTTACCAGACTTACGTGACACCAGTACTTTTCAAACTTTCAAAATCTACCCTGTGTGTGTGGTAGCCTCTCAGTCGTGTCTGACTGTGTGACCCCATGAACTGTCGCTTGCCAGGCTCCTCTGTCTATGGAATTCTCCAGGCAAGAACACCTGGGTTGCCATTCCCTTCTCCAGGGATCTTCCCAACCCAGGGATTGAACTCCGATCTCCCATATTATAGTCAGATCCTTTACCATCCCAGCCACCAGGAAGCCCAAATCTACCATAAATGACTTTAAAAATTTTCTTAAGCAAAAGCATCCATAAAATCATGTATCTTATGTAGTAATTACATTTTTTCTGAAACACTAACTATATAACCATTAGAACTGTGGTGATGTCCCTCCTCGCTCCACTGGGGATTTTGCACTGGGAGCCTGGACTGTGAGCCCCACACCGGGGATGCTCACCTGCCTCCAGCAGAGTTGCGGTTGGGGCATGGAGAGCTGGGCCAGGAGAAGCATGTGCCTTCTGCCGAAGCACAGGCCCTGGAGGACGTGTATGGAGAGTGTGTGCTGTGGAATACAAGTTTTCAGAATATACTTCAAGATCACTTTAAAACACTGTCTTTTTTTCCTTTGGTAAGAATTAAACAGTTAGCCCAGTCATTTTCTCCCTTCTCTCTTGAGAGCTTTCCAGTTACTCCTGTGAGTGTGGCAGCCTGTAACTCTCCTCCTCTGAAAGGTCTATTGAAGGGTTTTAAGCTTTACAGTTTGTGTGAAAACCTGCTGCTTCTGCCTCTTTGTCCCCTTCATCACACCCCTCCCCCAATTAAACATTTTTTCTAGCTGCTTAATACCTGGAGAGGTGATAACAAAGTTAACTTGGGTGTTGTCAGATTTTCTACTCAACACTTTATGTAAAATGATAAATGATTGACAGGTCTGTCTCTCTCCTTCCCTTCCTCATTCCTTTCCTCTGCTCACTCAGACCCTTCCTTCTAGTTCACAAGGACAGTTCTAGTTCTTGAGCTCTAAAATCAGGCAGAAATTGTGAATATTAAGTTAGATATACATCATTTATAATAAATAGTTTACGTAATTCTTTTAAATCATGTCAAGGAAGGCTGTACTAGAGTACACTTTCTGAATGTTACCTGGAAGCCCACGTCTTCCACTTGAAGCCTGTGAATATTATACAGTGGGGGAGCTACTGTAAACAGAACCTTACGTTCTATGTTAATGTCAGGTACAGCGCTTCCTACCAGAAATGAGCAGTAGTCGTGTCTTTCCAGCACTCAGTACACTCTTCACCTCTGACTCATCAGGGGAGTTTCACAGACTGCTCCATGGCTATGGGCATACTGGAACTGCTTTTTCTCATTTTTAAATATTTTAGTAGTTAATTATTAAAAATGTTGATTATTGAAACACTGAAGAAATTTATCTTCACTTGCACTGGAAGATTACAGGCCTTTGGAACTGGTGCTGCCAAGGCTCCTGTGTCAGCTCTGCTGCAGTGGCCGTGAGCGGCTGAGTCACGCTGAGCTTTAGTCCACTCGCTCACGAGTGGAGATAAAAGTCAGTGTTAATAATTGCTAACGTTTATTGTGCGCCGCCTTTATTACACACACTATTAAGTGTTTTATATGCAGTTGTTAACTTATGTAATCCTCACAGCGAGCCCACTTCTGCTGTTAGCCCTATTTAACAGATGAGGACTGAGTATGCTGTAATTGCTCAAGGTCAGACAAGTAGCAGCTGAGTTAGACTCTGAATCCGAACCATCCTCGCCTTGCTGTTCTGTGTGCTCTAAACTCTACACTCCCTACGCAGTAGCTTGTGTGCTGTGCTGCGTACGCGACGTACGCACTGTGCTCTGTACCTTGTGCTCACACCCTCTGTCCTCCCACCTCCTGTGCTGTGTATAATCTGTTGTCTGTACTCCCCACTCAGTGCTCTGTCCTGGACACGCTCTGTGCTCCCACCCCATGCTCTGCAGTCTCTGTGGTCTGGCCTGTATTCCGCACTCTGCGCTCTGTGCCATGTGCTCTCTGCTCTGTCCTCTATAGTCTATAGTCTGCGCTCCGCACTTTGTGCTCTGTATCCTGCTCCCACACTTCTTTCACTGCCTTTCCGTCCAGATTTGATCTTGGGATAATCTATATCAGCTTTATCAGAAGGAATGTATCCCAGATTCTGTGTGTTCATGTTTATATGTGTATAGGTTATTGACTGTTTTTATTTTACTCAAATCGCCCTCAGTCTTGTAGCCCCATGCCAGAGGCTCGTGTACACCGTCACTTCCATCAGTCCATCACTCACGCTGCAGAGACTCAAGGGAACTTGAGCCTCCCTGGGCCTCTGGGAAGTAAAGTGACTGGAGTTGGTTTTCTGTAGGATTTCTCCCAGTTCTAAATTTTAATCTACACATATAGTGAATATATAGTTATTCATGGAAAGGTTTCCTTTATTTGAGTATGACAGTTAATGTCAAATACACATGTGTTATATGCCCAGGTGTTACTGTGTGTGGCCTCTGTGCTGTCTACATGACGTAGGAGTGCCTTTCAGCTCAGTGCAGTTCCGAGTGCTGGCACTTGAAGACTGCGTTTGGTCCACTGACCACCTTGCTGTGCTCAGGGAAAGGTCAGCTTTTGCCTTTTTTTCCCTAGAGGTGACAACCCCTGAATCTCCCAAGAATGTTGCAGAATCGTCCATGGTGAATGGAGGTGTGGCGTCACAGCCCAGAGAAGGTGGGTCAGGAGCCGCCCAGCAGGTGCCCGTGCCACGGAAGAAGCTCCTTAAAGCCCCAACGCTGGCTGAGCTGGACAGCTCCGACTCGGAGGTGAGGCCCACTCCCGTTCAAGGTCAGGAGGCCAGCCCTCCATGGGCCCTTGTGTCGCTCCAGCCGCTGCTTGTCCTCCTCCCAGTTTTCAGCCAGTTTTCAGTCACTCAGTCATGTCCAGCTCTTTTGTGACCCCATGGACTGCAGGGCTAGGCTTCAAACTAGGCTTCCTTGTCCATCACAAACTCCCAGAGCCTGCTCAAACTCATGTCCATTGAGTCGGTGATGCCATCCAACCATCTCATCCTCTGTCTTCCCTTTCTCCTGCCTTCAGTCTTTCCCAGCATCAGGGTCTTTCCAGTGAATCAGTTCTTCACATCAGGTGGCCAAAGTATTGGAGCTTCAGCATCAGTTCTTCCAGTGAATATTCAGGACTGATTTCCTTTAGGATTGACTGATTTGATCTCCTTGTAGTCCAAGAGACTCTCAAGAGTCGTCTTCAACTCTCACATCCATACATGACTCCTGGAAAAACCATAGCTTTGATTATCTGGACCTTTGTTGGCAAAGTGTGTCTCTGCTTTTTAATATGCTGTCTAGGTTGGCCATAGCTTTTCTTCCAAGGAACAAGCGTCTTTTAATTTCATGGCTGCAATCACCATCTGCAGTGATTTTGGAGCCCAAGAAAATAAAGCCTGTCACTGTTTCCATTGTTTCCCCATCTATTTGCCATGAAGTGATGGGACTGGATGGCATGATGTTAGTTTTTTGAATGTTGAGTTTTAAGCCAGCTTTTTTACTCTCCTCTTTTACTTTCCTCAAGAGGCTGTTTAGTTCCTCTTCAATTTCTGCCATTAAAGTGGTGTCATTTGCATATCTGAAGTTGTTGATATTTCTCCCCAAAATCTTGATTCCAGCTTGTGCTTCATCCAGCCTCTCATTTCACATGACGTACTCTGCATATAACTTAAATAAGCAGGGTGACAATATGCAGCCTTGACGTACTCCTTGCCCAATTTTGAACCAGTCTGTTGTTTCATGTCCAGTTCTAACTGTTGCTTCTTGATCTGCATACAAGTTTCTCATGAGACAGGTAAGGTGGTCTGGTATTCTTATGTCTTTAAAGAATTTTCCACAGTTGTGATCCACACAGTCAAAGGGTTTAGCATAGTCAATGAAGCAGATGTTTTTCTGGAATTCTGTTGCTTTTTCTATGATCCAGTGGATGTTGGCAGTTTGATCTCTGGTTCCTCTGCCTTTTCTAAATCCACCTGGAAGTTCTCACTTCACATACTGTTGAAGCCTAGCTTGGAGGAGTCTGAGCATTACCCTGCTAGTATGGAAATTAGTGCAGTTGTGTGGTAGTTTGGATATTCTTTGGCATTGCCCTTCTTTGGGATTGGAATGAAAGGTGACCTGTGGCCACTACTGAGTTTTCCAAATTTGCTGGCATATTGAGTGCACACAGAAGGGTTTTGTTTTTGAACTAAGATTGTTATAAAGTAAATTATAGAGACAGATCTGAAACCCAAATCTAAGCCCAAAATCTTCATATCTCATAAACTTTCTAGTATTCCAACTAGCAGTATATGAGAATGCCTAAGTGAAAATAATTTAACTGGAAAAGGGGCTTAGAAATTGTGTTCAACATCATTACTTTGCAGTAAGAACACGGCCTAGTGGAGGCAGAGGCTTAGTTTACAAAGTCAAGACAACAGAAAAGTAACAGAATCCCTACCAAACTATGAATAGACCTCCCAGCACCAGGTCTTCTTTCTTTTCTCAAAATTCTTAATCTCTGTGTTTTTTTTTTGGTCTATCTTTAATAACCTCTACTAGCCAGACCCAGGTAACATTGTAAAAGTCAAGATAAGCTTTGATTGGCACTATATCAAAGCTTTCAGTAGGGAAGCAAAGCTTAGGAGCTGTATCTGTGCCTTAACTGGGCATCTTGTCAAGAAAAGGGAGATTTTCCTTCCTGCCCAATGAGTTCGGTGCCGAGGCTTGTATCTGAGATGACTCTGGTGGCCTTAGGGACAGCCCCACCCTGGGAGCACAACTGTGGGACTTCCGACAGTGATAGGGACTTCTGACAGTGGTGAGTGTCAAAGACTAGTATGATGCTGCTGTGAATAATAGAGCACATGTATCTTTTTGAATTAGTGTTTTTGTTTTTTTTCAGATACATACCCAGGAGTTGAATTGCTAGGCCATATGGTAGTTCTGCTTTTAGTTTTTTTGAGAAACCTTCATACTGTTCTCCACAGTGGCTGCAGTGATTTACATTCCCACAAACAGTGTACAAGCGTTCCCCCTTCTCCACATCCTCTCCAACATTTATTATTTGTGTTTTTTTTGTTTTGTTTTGTTTTTGGTGATAGCTATTCTGACAGATGTGAGGCAATAGCTCCTTGTGGTTTTGATTATAATTTCCGTGGTAGTTAGCAGTGCTGAGTATCTTTTCATGTACCATGTTGGCCATCTGCATTTCCTGTTTGGAAAAATGTCTGTTCAGTTCTTCTGCCCATTTTTTCATTGTTTTTTTCTTGATGTTAAGATGAACTGTTTAAGTCCTGTTTGTTTATTTTTGCTTTTATTTCCTATTTTAGAAGATGGATCCAATAAAATATTGCTACAATTTATATCAATAAGTGTCCTGCTTACATTTTCCTCTGGGAGTTTTATGGTATCCGGTTTTACAGTTAGATCTTTAATCCACCTTGAGTTTATTTTTTAATGGTAGGATTAGTTTTCAAGTAGTCTGAAAGTAGGTCAGCTCCCTAAGGTGGGCAGGACAGAAGCAGGGGGCAATCCACGGCTTCTGGGAGAAAATCCCAAGAGGTGCTGAGCCACATCCCTCCCCACAGCAATCCCATGCCCACCCTACCTGCCCAGGGCAGACTCCTCACTGCTCTCAGAGGAAGCGTTTCAGACCCTTGGGAAGGAGGGAGGCTGTGCAGCATGGACATGCCTCAGACTTCAGTAAAATTAGCTGTAACAGTGGTTCTGGGAAGGTTGGTTGAAGGATGTACAGCAGGGATGGTTTCTGCTGTTTGAATCAGGAGCTCCCACCTCATAACTGCTGAGAAATCCTCTTTTCCTCTGAGATATTCATAGCTTTACTTCCTTTTGACCTTCCAGAAGCAGGAGATAAGCTAGTTCTCACTGACTTTTCTATAGATGTGTATGATGTCCTATGTATGACCTCTGGGTGAGGCTTGGCTGATGTCACCTGGTTTGTTCTTGGCAGTGAGCACCAGGAGGAGGTGGCTTCTCAGACCGTCCTTGTGTGGACTCTGTACACGGCTTTCTTCTTCTCCTGTTACTTGACTAGGTCCTTTATAGTGGGGCTTGTTCGAAACTAATGCTTTCCACACTAAGTAGGTCAGAAAGGATTTTCACTATTTGTCTCACATAATCATAGATTAATATATTAACCTAGCTTTCTTCTATATTTAAAAATATTTAGCAGTTTTCTCTATGTATTATGGAATTGAGTTGTCTTCCAGTTAATATATATCTCCTGTCACATAGTAAGTAGTAAATTTTTCATGAATAAATATTGTACCTCACTTTGGCATAGTCTAAAACAAATTAAGAAGGTCTCTTCTCACAAGTAGTAGGAATTTAAATTCTATTTGACACAGTGCAGACATATTTCTCATGAAATATGTTTTCATTCATTCAACAAATATTTATGCGTTACTTAGTAAGGGATGGATTTGGTAGTAGGTAACAACAATGAACAAAACACATCTACCTCTGTAGGGGTTATAAGTCTATTAGTTTTTTAAGTATGTTAAATACTTGACTGATGATATTAATCACCCTTTGTTGTGTGCCAGGTGATGTGTTAAGCATCTTAAATGTGTTGTCAGATTTTTCCTTGTAGTAACCCTATTGAAATTATGAAACTGAAATAAGAAACTTGCTCTATGTCACATCACTCTAATGAGGAACAAAGCTGGGGCACACACTCAGATATGTCTAATTTTAGATCCCTTCTAGTTTGTCTCCAACTTGCTTTGAACCTTGGACATTAAAATGTGGTGCCTCACGTTACTCTTACGAGTGAACACCCTTAATGAGCATGAGAGCAGTAGTATCTAAGAAATCTGTCTCTCCCCCTTGCCCTGTGTCTTTTTCAGGAGGAGACCCTGCCAAGGTCTGCCAGCAGCAGCAGTGCATCTCCCTCCTTCCTGGAAGACCCCTTCCTAGAGACTGTGTCCACAAGGAAGAGTGAGTATTTGTGGTACAAGAACCAGTGTCAGATGCCTTAAAAAACATGTTTAACCTAGAAAAGGGAATCCCAAAGTGCCTTGTTGTCATTTGGGGTAACTAAAGAACCAGTCCTGGAATTGCACTGGTCAGGAGCAGAAATAATCATTTTTTTCCTAGAATAACATCATAAGATAGGGCTAAACTGGTAGTTGGGTCTCAGGTTCTCAACTTAACAACAAACCAGTCACCTTTGGGCTTACAGATAATAGCTGTTGGGAGTAGGTCAGCCTGTGTTTACTTTTTAGAATTACCTCATTATCTAAATTTAAGCCAGAAGCCCTGAATAATCACACTTGTTATCATTCCTTCTACACACACACAAATACACCCCCACACACCCTTCCCCCTTACCCACGTAGGTAATAAAAACACGTTTATAACTCTTCAGGTTATAGGTTCTAATACAGAATCTAAAGTGAAGTGATTTTGAAAAGTACTATTGGCCATCTTTTTGAAAGTTCTTACTTGGCTGTGTCGGGTCCTCACTGGGGTGTGTGGGATCTCTGTGGGTTCTCTCCCTGAGGTGCCCAGGCTGTCTAGCTGTGGGGTGTGGGCTTAGTTGCTCCAACGCATGGGGTCTTAACTTCCCAAACCAGGTATTGAACCTGTGTTCATGGCATTGCAAGGCAAATTCTTAACTAGTGGACCACCAGGGAAGGCCCAGTGTTGGTAATCTTTTCATTTGTAAGATTAATATAAAGGATTAACAATTAAATATTAGAGGGGAAGATTCTGGGCAGTCAGCAGAGTAGCAGGCACCATGTAGTTGTCTTTCCAACTAGACAATAACTGCAGTGGCAGAATCTGTCTAATATAATTATATTTGGAATGCTAGAATCTGTTGAATGTTTACAACTTCCAGGGGAAGATGGTGAATTGTGGTTAACTTCAGTAACCTTCAGTAAGATTTCAGCTCTTAGTGAGTGGCAGCCATTCATTCCCCTGTCCCCATCCACATGACAGGCAGCTGTGTGCCGTTCCTGAAACAGCTTGCACACAGCTGGCGGGGCCCAGACGGACAAAATAACCTGGCCCTTCAGATCTTGGGGCTCTGTGTTCTGGTCACTGCTGCTGATTTCAGAGGTGCAGACAGATGTATACGGCCATTGCTGAGCTGTTGTCAGCTTCTCCCTCACCCCTTCATATTCCAGGGGATATGCGAGAATTGGAAAGTGACCATGAATGCCCAGGGAATGGCTCATCAAGGACCTGAGGAGATGTTAAGTTAACATCAGCCTGATCTTCAAAGATCAGCCTTCAACAGTAAGAGAAACAGTGAATGGAGACAGTAACAAAACTCAGCAAACTCTGGGGAAGGGTAGAATCTAATTTCCAGAATTACCACATTGATAAATTCAAATGTCCAGTGTTCAACAAAAAATCACAAGGCACATAAAAAAACAGGAAAGTATGGCTCATTCAGAAGAAAAAATAAGTCAACAGAAACTGTCCCAGAGCAAAAGGGAGGTTTATTTCTATAAGCATTTATGTTAAAAACAAGACTTGTGTTGAAAAACAAAATTCAACAGGTAGTCGCACAATAAATGTTCTGGTTTTAAAAACAAGAATGATGTCAAATCAAAAATATATATATAATTTGAAAATATCTTTTGTTTTCTGGGTTGTCTTTTCACTTTCTTTTTTTAGCTTTTTATTTTGTATTGGGGTATAGCTGATTAACAGTGTTGTGACAGTTTCCAGTGAACAGTGCAGGGGCTCAGCCATACATATGCATGTATTCATTCTCCCCGAAACTCCCCTCCCATCCAGGCTGCCACATGACATTGAGGAGAGTTCCATAGCACTCTGAGGCTTTCAATTGGAACATTTAGTCCATTTCCATTTAAAGCAATGATTAATATTTGTGCACGCGTGCTTAGTTGCTCAGTTGTATCTGACTCTGCACTCCCACAGACTGTAGCCCACCGGGCTCCCCTGTCCATGGAATTCTCTAAGCAAGAATACTGGGGTGGGTTTTCATTCCCTTCTCCAGGGTATCTTCCCAACCCAGAGATCAAACCCAGGTCTCCTGCATTGCAGGCGGATTCTTTACAGGCTGAGCTACCAGGAAAGTCCATTGTTGGTATTTATTGATATTAATAGATATGTATGTACTACCATTTTGTTCATTGTTTTGCAGTTGTTTTTATTTCCTTTTATTCCAAGAAAAAAGGAATCTTTTTCCTTGATGACTATCTTTAGTGTTACATGGAGTCCTTTCTCTTTTCTGTGTATTTGTTATATAGGCTTTTGGTTTGTGGTTACCACATAGGTTCATATATTGACAGGTGAATATTTTAAGTTGATGACCTCTTACATTTAAACACATTCTAACAGTACTACATTTTTACCCTGCCAAACACATTTTGTTTTTAATAATCACATTAAAAAAAATAATAATAATCACATTTTACATTTTTATTTATTTTTTTAGCCCTTTAGACATTCAATTTATTTTATATCCATTTAATATATCGTCTGGGACTTCCCACGGTCCAGTGGGAAATGCCCCCAAATACAGGGGGCCCAGGTGTGATCCCTGGTCAAGGAACTAAATCCCACATGCCACAACTAAGACACAGCTCAGCCAAATAAATAAATAATAAATATTTAAAAATATACATATCATCCAACAAAGTACAATAAAGTTTACAACCAGGTGCATAACAAGGTAACTGTAAACAATTTAATACCGCTGAACTGTATGTTTTAAAATGGTATAATTGGTAAATTTTTACAGTGTTCAGTTGGGTTAGATGGTAAATATTATGTTCAATTTAAATAATTTATGCAATTATTTAAAATTTTGCTAAGAAAAAACATATTACAGTATCTTTAGTATATTGACTTCATTTTTTGTATATGTATATGTGGAGGTTTCAGTGGTTAAAATTCTTCAAATGGTATTTTGATTTACTTAAACAGATTACATCAAAAACAATAGGAGCTGACCTTGGTTATTATCTGTAATTGGTATTTGACCAGACCCATTAAATATTATAGAGACTTCATTAAATCACATGATGGATTTCTGTACCTTTTCTTGATTGAGGGAATTATATTCTGTTTTTTTAAAGTGATTTATTGCTCGGACAGTCTAAGTAGATGGTCATCTCCTCCTCACTGTGCTGACTTTCACTTTTCCTCACCTTATTACTGCGCAGAGGGTGGGAGGAAGGACGGAGAGACAGACAGCAGAGTTCTTGATGTCCTCCTGTGTTTCCACAATGTGAATCAGAGCCTGAAACATTGCCCATTTAAACTCTGTCCCCAGATATTCCTAGACAGAGGAGCAGTGGCATATATAGTATTAACATTGAAGGTGAAACTTATTTTTTTAATTTAAATAAAGCTTGATTTAAACTAAGGATAAAATGTCTTGATACACATCAAGAAGAGTTTTCCTATTTCCTTTTAAAAGCAAGATATACATGACAATTTTGGTATGATTTGACACAAACAATACATAATTTTCACATGCTTTTAAAATAAAGCCCAAGACCTATTCCTTGAATTCTTTGCCCTTGAAATTGTTTATTGAATACAAGTCTTTTGCCCAATTAAAAAAATAATTTGAATAAAGCCTAAGACTCTTAATTGCAAAATTCTGTGGAAAATAACAGGATGGCATTTGTATTATGAATCTGAGACTCCATTTATGTTGCCTTTTATGCATGAATTTGAATATTGAACACTTTTTCCTTTTCCTTGCTATTTCAGTAGCAAGTTTATCTTGCAAAGATTATTCTATAACAGTCTTCCAGGGTCCCCTAGTGGCCTCCAGTCCTAATGTATCACTCAAACAAAATCAACGCTTCATCTCTGCAGTTGGTCACACATGGCAGAGGGTTTTCTGTTAGAAATTTGAAACCTAAGTTGCTTTTTTTTTTCTTTTATAAGAGAATTGATTTCAGTTTGGTTCATCCTGTTTCTTCAGACCCTCCCAAGTTTTTGCCCATATCCTCCACACCTCAGCCTGAGCGACGGCAGCCACCCCAGAGACGACATTCCATTGAGAAGGAAACACCCACTAACGTGAGACAGTTCCTGCCGGCATCCAGGCAGAGCTCCCGGTCTCTCGTAAGTAGCCCACAGACTCTGCAGAGAAACTTGTAAGCAGTTAGAGACCTGGAATCATTAGTTTCCTTGAGAAGCTTCCAGAAGCTAGAATGAACTTTATAAATAACCTTATTTGTTATTAGCTGAAGAAAACCAATTCTAAGAGTAACCAAGTGAAATCTGACATTCTTTGTTCATTTAAAGTACTTTTTTCCCCCTGGAACACTTATTTATGGTTCAAAGTATAGATATTTAGTAAAGAAACATTTTTTTTCCTTTCAAATGCCACTTAAAAATTGTTGAAACTAAACAGAAAACTTAGTGAAGTCTGACTACAGTAGACTTTTATTGAGGCAGATGTCCAAAGGGAGAATTTTGATTCATAAAAATGCATTATTCCATGTTTTCAAGCATGTTTTGCGATACTGGAGTCACTGCAGCTGTTTGGATGGGTTGACAGTTTGCGCTGTTTTCCAGAGACATCCAGGCTCACATCATGGCTATTCACTTCTCAGACAGGGGATGTAGCCCACGAGGTCCTTCCAGGAAGAGGCAGTGGATCTGCCAGAGGAAACCTGCGAAGGTTCTTTCTGTCCCACTTGACTTCCCAAATACCTGCAGGCAAAGTACAAGGATTCAGTCAATAATTCTACTAGCAGCCAACCTGTGTTTCTTCAGATTCTCATGAATAAAACACTATAGACTCTGCTGAGTCCATACTTTAAGGGTGTAATGAATCACCAGTGTGGTTCAAGGAAGCAATGATAGAGGTCCCTCCCTCCATTGGTGTGGTTTTTGTGAAGAAACCAAGTTTGAACTGCACTGATAGCGTTGAATTGATCAGTCATCTCTATTCCCAAATAATGTGATTAAAGAATTAATGATTTTGTGGCAACTCTTGTTAGGATTCCTCTAAGTCCTATTCCTCACACACTGAAATATGCTGAAATACAGCTTTATCAGTGGTTTACCACCTGAAAAACAGAACTCTCACCAGACACGTTCAAACTTTAAAATCCAAAGGCTTTTTTTGTTAATACGTTATTTGACAAAATACATAGTTAACTGCTACAACTGAAAAATACATGAGAGGGAGCGCCTTTGTGATTTTTTTTCCACAAGCCCAATGATTAGAAGGTTCTTTTCTTTACACAGCTTTTCCTAGAAGTCAGTTTGTCATTCAGTTGTGTGTGCCTGGCCTTGCGATCATATGATGTCACTGTTGAGGTTAAAATTAACAGTGTAAAGACACTGTCAGATTAACTACAAGCAGTATTTGGCTGGTGCATGTGTGCTAAATTGCTTCAGTCATTTCAGACTCAGCGACCCCCATGGACTGTAGCCCACCGGGCTCCTCTGTCCATGGGATTCTCCAGGAAAGAATAGTGGAGTGGGTTGCCATGCCCTCCCCCAGAGGACCTTCCCAACCCAGGGATCAAACCCATGTCTCTTATGTCTCTGGTGTTGGCAGGTGGGTTCTTTCCCACTAGCACCACCTGGGAAGCCCTGTTGGCTGGTGATAGAAACTTCACCAAGGAAGGCTATGAGGTGTCTTCCTGGCGCAGGGGAGCTCAGTGTGTATGGTCAGACTGTGAGCTGTTTTTGTGGAGGAGGAGAGCAAGGTACAACCAGCATGCCTTTGATTAGAAGGGGCTTAGTGAGCAGGCAGGGGAGCCCTGTGGTCTGTGCGGACTGGTATTTGTTCACAGAACTCCACCCCTTCAGTGCCTCTAGGGCCCAGCTGAGATGCAAGAACCTCCAGATCAAAGTCCTGACTTTTCTTGCCAGTAGCTTATCATGGGAAATCCCTAAAATCCCACTCCTTTAGTGGCAGTGGCGTCTGGTTTTGTAAGTATTGTTTTTAAAAGTATGATTTAGCTATTTTTTTAAGAAAACACTGAAGCATTTTGCATTTATAAGGTCTCAGCTAAAGACAGCAGAAAAGTCTTTTGTTGTTACTGATTTTCATTTATTTTATTTTATTTTTTTGATTTTCATTTATATTGGACCTTCCTCCCTTTCCTCCTGGGGTTTCCCAGGTTGGCACTAGTGAGAGCTCACCTACCAATAGTGTAGACACAGGAGATGCAGATTCAATCCCTAGGTCAGGAAGATCCCCTGGAGGAGGGCATGGCAATCCACTCCAGTGTTCTTGGCTGAAGAATCCAATCCCATGGGCAGAGGAGACTGGTGGGCTACAGTCATGGGGTTGCAGAGTCGTATACAACTGAAGAGACTTAGCACCCTTTCCTCAGGATGTTGAAAGTGTACTTTTTTGCATCATTTGGTCAGATGATTGGGGGCAGCGCCTTCCGAGTAGGGGAGGGGTGGCTGCTGGGTGTGTTTCTGCTGTCGCCTTGGGCCTGCATCCCGCAGACCTATGTGGGAGATGGAGTTCACAGGACAGCTGAAGTGTTGCTGTGTGAACTCAGATTCTCCAGCCGTGACTTCGTGGTTTGTTTCCTTTTGACACATAATGGATGCAGATGATGGCCTGGAGACCCGTGTGGAATCTAACGTTAATGCCCTCTGTGGTGTTTTTGTCTGTTTTTCTTTCATGCTCTATAATGGTTCTGTATCAGTCACTCATGTTCAGCAGTATTTTCTCCATTTCTTCTCCCCTGCCGTTCTCTTCCCCATACGTATTGTTCAGGTTCCAAGGATGACCAGAGCATGGCCAGCGCCGCCTTTCCGACCACTTTTTTCTACCCTCCAAACAGCTTCTCTGCTCGGCTCTCACCCTTTGGAGGCAGCCATGCTGGGGGTAGCAGGGGCTGTTTATTATCTGTGTGAGAGAGCTTTTACCAGCAGGTGGAGACACACACAGGTTGGCCTCCTGCGGGCTCTGGGAATTACCTTCCTCTGTCTCTGGTCGTGATGCCTCAGCTGCCACACTCTGCACAAATTAACAGCTTAGATGGACACTTTGCTTCTGACCGTTGATTCCAATCTTTGGTAGATGCATAGATCACACCATGATCTCAAATGACAGGATGATAGTGAAAGGACAACAAACTCAGAATGCAGCAGCGTCAGGGAGCCTGTGGGCGGAGCTTCTGAGGGACCTGATGGAAAGGCATCCCCGCCAGCCTCCCCCAGAAGCTGTCCACACTCAGCTGCCCAGCCAGGGAGTCGCGGGGATTCTTCCTCTTCTCCAGCTCCTGTATGGCTGTGTTATGATGGTCAGGATGGTTGTTACAAAAATCCACGCTGCTTCTCTGTACAGAGAAATCAAGTTTTCTTTTATCGATGTGATTATTTAAAATATTTTAAATACTCACTTTGTATTGTCTTTTGAGATTTTCATACAGAATACACTTTTTAGACAAAGTATAATTCCCAGACCTCAGTGGCATAAAAAATCTTGGGGACCGTCTTCAGGCTTCCCCTGCCCGCAGTGCAGCCGATGTGGCAGCAGCCCACCTGGCTCCAGGATCCTTCCTGTTGACCAGACCAGTCCTTGACAAGCAAACTGCCGCTAGTTTCTTTTTCTTTATTACCCATCTTGGTTCAGAAAAGAAACTGAATGTAAATGAGGTACAACAGATTACTTTCTCTTCATTTGGCATGAAATTCAGGCTTCATCCTGTTTTTCGTTTTTGATGTGGCCATGTGAGCCGTGGTCAGATGCAGGAGTGGCATTTAGTACCGCCCCTCCTACTGCTGTTTCTGAAGATCTCTGACATTTTGTTTTTATTGTCAACCCTCCCCAGTCTGTCTACTGAGTCTATAGATGACTTTAGATAGATAATTTACCTTGAATTTTAAAGATGAACTTGGATAAAAGAGTTACTATTTGCTCTTTTTAAGTGTGCTTTCCTTTGGTTTATTAAGAACTCAAAAGGCTGTTTTGGATAATTGTCAAATCTCTCCTACTTATTTATGAGGTTTTGGCTAACCAAAAACACTATAAAGTGTGACTGTTTCTGTTTCTCCAGCTCAGTAACAGATGATATACTGTGCTCTCTAATTTCTGTGCTGGCTTAACTCTGATGCCTTTTGAATGGTAAATACAACCAGAATATTTAACAGAAACCCAGCCATTTTAGTGACATATGCACAGTGAGTTCTAAAGGCACAGCTGCCCTGTAGTATATTGTGATCTCTGAAAACTTAAGATTTAGCTTCCCGTTTCTAAATTTGGGAGCCGTCCTGTAGCACAGAGCAGCCAGAGAATCAGTCGTGCTGCTCTGGCCCCCGGCGTCTGTGCCGGGCCAGGGCCCAAGTTCCGTGCCTGCTGTAGTGTGGCCAGCCCCTCGTGACAGAGGGGACAGGGGCTCAGCTCGGGGTGGGGTGCGAACCCTGAGTGCCCTTCACATTTTGCAGCATGAGGATCTCAGCAAGATCTGGGGTAATTTGGCTTTGGGGATGTTGAATCAGTATTTTTTCATCAGTTGAAAAAAAAAATGAAAGCTAGTCTATAATTATTTATTTTCTTTCATGTTGCATTAAAGTTTTGTTGTCCTTGGGAAAGCACCAGATTTAAAACATTAGCATTTGACCTGATGGAAGCTATTTACCAAAGGATAATCTGCTTGAAATTCTAAAAAAAGAACATGAACACCAAAAAAAACCCCACCATTTCTTATTTTATCTAACAGAGCAGTGGATTTGGGTATGGTTCAGAGCAGAAAGTCAAAAGTAGGCTCTGACTGAGCCCGTCTGTGACTCGAGGCTGAGGAGAGGGCAGTGCCTGCTATCAGGGTTGCAGCACATCTCACCGCCTGCGTCACATTGTAAGGTTGCCATCTTCGTAACACACGGCCACCAATCTCAGGGAACAGTTTCTGCTTGTTTGCTAGATTCATATATAGGTAGTCATGCTCGTCGCTGGTGAATAAAGACGACTGTAAAGACTTCTTGACAACATGTCAGAAGCTGAGAAAAGTTGCTGTTCAGTGTGTGCAGCCGGCACATTAGTCTGAGCACAGTTGTGATGTCCAGCACTCAGAGGCTATCCTGTCCCAGTGGACACACACACACTCTGTTCTCAGGGCCGAGCAAAGCACAGTAAATATTGGACATGCCAACTGAAGCTTATTATCTTTGAAAGCTCTTCTTACTGAGAGAAAATTGTGTGATGGTGGGATTTTTTGAGTATTTATACATCCTAGAGCACATGATATAATCTAACAAGCTATCCTCCCATCCTCCAGATGCTAAGCTGTTCGTCTTAAAAATTCAACTGAAGGATCTTTTCTAAAACATTTTTAGCAAATTTAATCTTCCCTAAGTTAGCTTGAACAGAGATAATTTTGTAATGACTATAAGCAGCAGTAATTCTGCAAGCTTTTTTTTTTTAGTAAATGCTAATGTTTGTCAAGTTTGCAGCCTAGAATTTTGTTTTTCTCTGATTAGAAGACAGAACTGAATGTTAAATCTCCATGAATTGCATCCATAGTTTTGTGCTTTCTTGTTTGGCTTGTCTGACTCCAGAATGCCTGTGCACAGCGCTGCTCTGTGTGTGGGTGTGAGTTCGTGTGTGCACACCGAGGGCACGGGTTTGTGAGGCCCACGTGTTGTGGGCGCACAGGATGTTTCGGTCTTTCTGCTGGGTCCATAATCAGTGCAGGGCCAACTGGGAGCAGGCGAGAGGCTCTTTATTCAGTGGGATCAGTTACGTCAGCGTCATCCTCCACAGTCCCATGTGGAAAAGTGACAAGGGCTCTGGAGCGCATGGGGCAGCCCAATGTGAATGTCTGCTGGCCTTCAGGTCCAGTTCACTCACACCGTTAGGAGTTTTCAGGCTATGCTGATGTAACTTAACCACTAAATAACGTTTCTCAATGTCAGTTACTAACCATCTTCTTTGGGCCGTTCTGGGTACCACAAATCAGTGTTTAAAACTGTACCAGTATTGTAGATTTGCTCTTTATCTTTGAGCAAATAGTATACAACAGAAAGCTATATGTACTGTCTTTGTGTATCAGGAGAAAATGGACATAAATTTGGTTTAGAACAGTAACATTTCCCCCAGATTTCAGGACACAGATACTCAGCTCCCCTTCAGGGACTGGATGCCTGAGATGCATCTGAACACACATGAGAAACTTCTGTTACTGGAGGTCTTGGTCGGCTAGTGCTACCTGGGACCTGGAAGTCTTGCTACCTTCTGGGTGTGATCAGAGATTGTGGTCCCCAGAGCGAGCTAGCTCTGCCCCAGGGTTTCCTGGGAGCCTCTTTCTTCTTTGGAGCTACTAACCAGGGCCCTGATATGGAGGGGACATGGCCCTGCCGGAGCGGGTGGGGCTTTTTGCTCACATGGATTCTGACTTTCAGGAGGAGTTCTGCTACCCGGTGGAATGCCTGGCACTGACTGTGGAGGAGGTGATGCACATTCGTCAGGTCCTGGTCAAAGCAGAGCTGGAAAAGTACCAACAGTACAAAGATGTCTACACGGCTCTGAAAAAAGGAAAGGTAGAGCCCTTTCCAGTTGGCGGGTCACGTGGGCACTATCTGCTGCCAGGTGGCACGGGGCTTTGGGGGCTCCAGGGGCCAGAGGCTCACCCTCTGCCAGGCAGTCCCTGTTCCCTTGCTCACAGAAGCAAGTATTATTATTTCTCCCATAGAAATTGAAAACTGTAAGGTTTAAAACTAGGTCTGCTCTTAGTTGTTAAACTTTTAAAGGATTATTGAGAAAATATATCTGAGAAACACAGGGCACTTTTTTAGAATCTTCTTCAGATTGCTTCCATGATGGCAAGACCCTTAAGAGCTGTGGCCTTTTTCTGCCATTTAAAAGTAGAATTATAATCAAATACAGAGCCAGATTGTAACTGTCACAGAATCAAACTTAGTAAAAGGGTCTCTAAATGCTCTTCTCCCTTTGTGTCTACTAAGACTTTCCACATACAAATACGTGTTTAGATGTAAAAATTAGGAAATTAACTGTTGGCAATTCTTTTTTCTCCTTTAAAATTTCTGTTTTTTAGCTCTGCTTTTGTTGCCGAACCAGAAGGTTTTCCTTCTTCACCTGGTCTTACACCTGTCAGTTCTGTAAGAGGTAAGGCTTTTTGTAATTGATGACAGTAGTCAAGGAAACACCTCCACTATCTCATCATTTTTCTAACAGGAACAATAGTAGAAATAATTCAGTGTGTTATCATGTGCCATGCTTATGAGTTACAATAGCAATTGCTTCAACAGTGGATGATTATTTGATATTAAGCCTGGAAAATTTTTCTCTGCATGTATTTCTTTTATGTATTCAAGATAGTTCTAATAATAATATGTCATGTTAGAACAGAAAAAAATAGATGTGACTCTCAGGTGAACCCACAATAGACAAGAAAATCCCGGACATTAAGTTGATCCTTTCATAGGACATAGCATTAAGTTTTACAGACTGATGGTCTTTTTGGCAAGCCAGTTATATCAGTTTGTTTTTCCTTCTGGTAGAAGAACTGGAGTTTGGGGGACCAACTGTAGACAGGTAGAGGCATGCAGCCTTTGGCTTCTCTTAACTCTCCAGTCATATCCATGGAATCACGCTAAGTAACCCTTCTGATTTTGTGTACAGGCCGGTGTGCTCACAGTGTTGCAAAAAGGTAAGCCGAGCTCAGTAAAGTCACAGCTTGTGCTGATTTCAGTGACTCTGCCTCTCCAGCAATCCTGCTCATTCTCAGTTTTATTTGGGATCACAGATGCGGCTGCCCTCCAAGCCATACTCCACCCTTCCTATCTTTTCACTGGGACCGTCTGCCTTGCAGAGAGGGGAAAGCTGTATGAGGCCAGAAAAATCCTCCACTGGCCACCATCGGCCACTTCGGAGCATTGCCAGGTGAGCAGGAGGCCTGGGTCTCCAAAGTGTCCTTTGTGAAAGAAGAAAGCACTTTCAAGGACTGTGGTGACATGGTGGGATATTGGCTTGAGGAGGGGCATGTGTGGGGGTTGGTTTTAATAGTTTTGACCTATACAAATCTCCAGCAGTAGCATGTCAAGGATAATGGCTAGCTCCTTGAAAGACACAATCTCCTAGTTTAATATTTTTTCTACTTTGGAAATAATTACTTTTATGTATCCTTTAAAAGTTATCTTTAAAACTATCCTTTTCTGTGGAGTTGAAAACTTGCACATAAGAGTCTAATCTTTCTTTCCTTTAGTTTTGAAAAAAATATTTTTAATCCTGTGTTTACAGTGGTCTGAAATAGCCGACTTAAATTCCTAACATAAAGACAGAAATAAAGCTTTATGCCAAGAGCTGGCATTTTAAAAGGAAAACATGCCTGGGTATCAATTGCTTTGTGTTCAGGTTAGTGTTGGTCTTTAACAAAGATAGGAGGAAGGCAGACCAGCTCAGGTCCCAAGCTGGCAGGGCCCAAGGGGCAGGCTTTTACACACCAGCAGCCCCTCCATCTGTGAGGGACAACTAGCATTGGTGTCAAATGCTGGATGGTGGCCATTCAGCATGTCAAGGCCTGTGGACAGTGAGGTGAGGGAGTTGGAAGCTCCTCAGACCTGTGTCCGAGGCTTCTGCCCTGTGCTCAGCCCCTATCCTGGGCTCTTGAGTTTGGGCTGCTGTCCATGGGCTCAGGACACGTGAACATGGCTGCTATTCTTTCCTGTACTTAATTCTACGTTCCTGTTTGGTTTAATTAAAATAGTGAGTAGATGATTCATAGTTATTTCCAAAAACTATCCAAAATATTTATGGTGATGTTGGTCTAGTTAACTCCAGCTCTCTGGAATCCAAATAGTTACCTGGCTAAAAGACAATTGCTGTAGTCAGGGGGTATATTTGATAAATACATATGAAAATAAGAAAGCTAGTCCAAAGATAATTTTTCAGGTTGTGTCACAGGATTAAGATAAATTTACTTCAGTTTCCTGTAGTTTTCTGACCTACCATCAACAGTTAAGTAATGTTCATTAACTGTGACATGGGGTCACTGAGAAAGAACTTGAAGTTTTGTATCATCAGTGGGGCGTTAGCAACATGAACTTCATTTCAGTTGTTAGCGTTCATGATCTGTGTGCAGTAGGTGAATACTCTGAATATTCTATTTTACAAAAATTCTATAAGGGGGTACAAAGATTCTTAATAAAACATGTTTCCTGGTTTGTTTTTTTTTAAAATATTTTGAACGTTGTCACCAGTTATAACTTCTTTGGATGAATCTGAGATGGGCCAGTCATCACCTATTCCATTATATTTTGGCAACAAATTTGCTTTTTCTACATGTATTTTCTTAGTATTTCAGTAGAATTCTTAAACAATAATGGATATTTTAAATGTTTTTTTCAAGATTGTCCTCAAAATCCAAGTCGGTGGACAAATCAGATGAAGAGCTCCAATTTCCCAAAGAGCTGGTGGAGGACTGGAGTGCTATGGAGGTGTGTGTGGACTGCAAAAAGTTCATTTCTGAAATCATCAGCTCAAGCCGCCATAGTCTGGTGTTGGCCAACAAGAGAGCCCGATTGAAGAGGAAGACGCAGTCCTTCTACATGTCTTCAGCAGGCCCGTCAGAGTACTGCCCCTCAGAGAGGACCATCAGTGAGGTCTGAGCCCTGTGCCTTCCTGTGTGGAGTTGCGTTCCTGTGAGGACACTGAGAGGGCTGTCACTGTCTCCTCACCGTGGTTAACTGGCTCGGGTTTGCATGAGAATCAGGGTTTTGCTGTGTCACATTGTTCCACAGACTAAATGCTGTGTTCATGTCAATTGATAACACGTGACCAGTCACCAGTTGCTCATCTGCACTAAGAGGACAGTAGTTTGAAACGTTTGTGTGATTATAGATTTAGAGGCCAGAAACTTTCCTCTTAGTTCTTTACTGTGCCTGAAATAATGTTCTGACTAAGGCAGAAGGGTTCTCGTGTGAGGAATCAGTCTAGCGCAGGCCTAGAGGCCAGCACGGTCTAAGCAGTAAGTCATATTGGCATTTCCACTGACAGTGTTCCTACCTGATGCACACAGACCCTTGGAGGCCTCACAGCACAGAACCTGCAAGGGTTTGCCTGTGCCTCAAACTGGTTTTAAGTTATTGTTGCTCTGAGACACTTGGGAGGGGCTCTCCACTGCCTCCCAGGACAAAGCATCTGGGCTGTAGGCCCAGGGTTGGTGCCTGTGTCCCTGGGCAGCAAGGCAGTGTCTCCTGAGCAACTGCTAGGCTGTCCTTATCTTGAATGTATTACAGTTACTAGTAGTTCTGTGTTGGAGGTCTAAGAAAGTTTTGTGGCATCATGGGACAAAGGCAGGGTAGAAGTTTGTCCAGAAGCTCAGTACTTTGGCCAGAAGAAGGGCTGTGAGCACCACGGGGAGCGAGCTGGAGCACCCACCTTTCCAGCCACAGTTTTCATAACTTTATAGTCTCACCATCATGACTAAATTAAGCCACAATTTGGTACATAAGGTCTCAAACTGAAATTTATTTTTATAAATGAATTTTAAAGGAAAACCATGGTCTAGTCTTTTAAAACTACTAGAAAATTAACCTGCCGATAAGCTTTTTGGATGCTTTTTGCACACGTTTTCCTTGTAAGCAACTTGAGTGGGTGGGGTAGGCTTTGATGAAGCCAAGCTGGAGGCAGCACCATACACCTGTCATTTCTCAGCTGTGTGGTCCGTTGCGTGGCATATCTCTATCGTTCTGGTTGGCTTGGTGGTGACCAGTCAGTCACATTCACAAGCCTGGTTAATGCGCCAGGCCGCTTTCTGACGCTCTCTAGGACACGTCTGCAGTCAGTGCTGGAGACAGCACTGCTCACCAAAAGGCATGGCAGTCATTCCACGCCCCCTCAACATTTCTATAGGGAATTAACAGTAATACCTCAGAACTGCTCTGGTAGTGGTTTTTCATGGTTGAAATTTATAAATTAGTAAATTGTTTAAAATTACTTACACTTACAAAATAAACTTTACCAACTGACTAAAGTAATTAATGCATGTTAACACTTTGTATTTGCATGTAAAAGTGGGCCACCAGAAAACCCTTATTATGGAAATATTTAGACGGTTTTAAAGAGGCTCAGGTAAGAGCTTCAAATGTTACATTGAGTGAATCTTGTTTGTACAGTTTTCCAAGGTACGGTTTCAACTGTAGACCCCTGATGGTTTGGCCTGAGCCTCTAGACTATCCCCAGGACAGGTACAAGGAAGACAGTGAGGGGCGGGGGCAGGTGTTTGTGTCCGTGGAAAAAAAGACCCAGGAGAGTGTGCTTTTTAAAATAATGACTAGTTTATAGGTGTTTCTAAAATACAAAAAGCTAACCCCTCCCCCCAAATGAGAATCCCATTCACCTGTCAAAATCTAGCCCATCTGGTCCTTGACTTCACTGCTCCAGGTTTGTGACACTGTTCAGCTATTGGGACATCGTGAGTGGCAGGTTTCCATGGGACAGTTTGCAGAAAGGGTAGAAAAGGGCACATGGCATAGCTGAGATTATAGAAATCAAATCCTCATCCCTTTCTGGTGCCAAACAAATCCCCGCACTCAATCCTCCCGCATCCATGGCATGTGTCCGCCACCTCAACCAAACTGGGTAATTCCGAGGGTCATACACTGCTGGCCTGTGGGGCATGCTTTCACAGTCGCTGCCTTGCCTGTGCCCTGCAGCCCCCACCTCCCCTACTCGTTCCTGGATCCCAGGCTGCTCTTCGTGCTGCTTCAGGCACTTACTTCTGGTCTGACAACAGCGTCGCTGGCTGGCCTTGGGTGGAATCTGATGTGTGTCTGTGTGCCGGCCCTCATTCTCACCTTCTCCCTCCAGGCTGAGAACACTTTCACTTCTCACAGTTTAACTTTGTCAGTGTCAGGAAAGATAGCAAAGCTTGTAAATACTGTAATATATTTATTGGTATTTGGAGGGCATTCATTCAGTGGAAAATAAGAATTAACTCTCCCAACACAAGTAAAAGTTAACTACATCAACTTAATAGTCTAGATTTCAAGTCTTAAGCCTTTCAAATTAAACCAGAAAGTTGTCATGTAGGAGTTTTTAAAATGATCTTACATTTGATGAGATCCCATGATCTCATAAACTCATATCATGTGGTCAGCTCCGTGAACTCATGCCATGAATTTTTTAAGACTCTTATTTTTCTAACTGTATTAATAAATGTCAGACTGGATTTTAGGTGTCACATAGGAAAGTTTTAAATTATGTTGCTATTTGCTAGAGCAAAACAGCAGACAGTTTTGTACATGCAGAACTGCTGAAGGGCCATGGAGAAATGTGTACACGTTGACCTGGCTTCTTGCGTGTATAAAGTCCAGACACTGCTGGCATTCAGCGTAACATGATGCTACCAAACATTTTCCATTAAAGTCTTTTAAAATTTATTGAGAAGAAAATAAATGACTTTCCATCATACATTCCGTGTGGAGTTCCTATTATAAAATGGTGTTATCTTTTGGTGACTAGCTGTTTGAAACCACCTAGGTTGGAAACACAAGATACATTTGTGTGACATCAGCAGTTGACGATCAGCTTCAGAAATACAACCTGCAAAGGACCACACTGGAAAAATAAATGAAAATGAGCTGCCACTGTAACTCTGCTGTGTCACCAAGCACCCTGCCTTTGTCACCTTGCAGGGTAGGAAACTAAAATCTACAGATAATTTGTCTCCACAGTTATACTATGTTGAGAAAGATAAAGCTTTTTTTTTCCTAAATAGAATTCCTTATGGTATGTGTTCTTAAAATGTCCCATGAAACAAATTTCTTGTTGTAGCTCTTAATGGCTTGAGTGTAAACCCAGAATGAATTTATGAAGGTCCTGTCTTTATGTTAACTAGAGAGCATCCTTGGCCCTTTACGTGTCTTAAACCTTAGGTGATACTGAATGTGATATGAATCCATTACTTATTTGCCAGATGTACTTTAAGCTCTTCTTGCACTAGGTACCTGTGACAGGTGTGTGACAAGACCTCAGTTCGTAATCCACATGCTCACTGACTGAGTCCAGAGCACAGCCCTTGCCTTGTTAACAGCTCCTGGGTTCTGCAGACATCAGAACCAGGAAGGGAAGCTCTTGGCCTCCCTTATTCAACTGCGTCTTTCTTTCTCCTTTCCGGCCCCTAGTGAGGAGAAGCTGTAGAGTTGCAAATCATTAGTCTATAACTCCATAAGGAGAACTGTTGTGGGTAAGGGCTGGATTACAAACTGATGTGTCAGGACCCACAGTTCTGCTCTCTTCAGTGTGTGCATACATACATACACACAGCCATCAGAATGCGCCTTTTCCCCTCATGCTGGCCTCAGGCCCACATCTAGAAATGTCTCCTTGGCTCATCAAAAAAAAAAAAAAAATTTAAGAGCCAAGAACCTACTTAATATAAAGCTTTGCTTACACTAGTTAAATGCTCAGGTGCAGTTACCTGGCAGATTGAATTCACAGTGCTGTCCCACCTTGTTCCACTAAACTGTGCATGGTGTATTTTAGAATAGATGTCACTATGTGGAACATTCTCCAGCTGTTTTTGCTGTGGGGTTTTGATGCCAGTGGCACAACCTGAGCCTCTTACATGTGCAGTATGAAGCAGAGGATGTGAAAGGGCTCCAGCGCTGACAGGACACAGTACTTGTGAAGCAGGCTCCTGAAAGCTGGGGCATCAAGGTGGTCACTTGTGTCCCTGGAGCTTAGAAGCTGAGGGATCACCTGGATGTTCCACTCACCTGGGGGCCTGACAGTGGTTCCTGTTTTGGGATGCTCTCAGAGCAGCTCTGATGCATCTATAAACTGAAGGAAGGAGGGAGCTTCCTCCCCTAGGGAGCAGTCAGCACCGAGGGGCAGCCTCACTAGAAGGCGCCCTTCTGTATGTTCTTCTTGGCCTTGGTGTCCTGTCATTGCAGGAACTATCAGTCAGTCCCTGGCCTACCTCCCCCGTTCCTTCCCCTGCGGTGACACAGCAGAAAATATCACATCCAAACTTTGCTGGGAGCGCAGTGTTTGGGAGAGTGGGAATGCCAAAGAGAGGATTTCTGGAAAGCTTACCTGAGTATCAAATTCCTCAGCAAACTGTAAAAGCTGTGGGAAATCACAGAGAAGGAAGGGGGAGCAGCACGATTCTGCAAAGGTGGGCAGACCTCCTTAACAGTGTAGCTCCTGCAGAAGAGCCAAACGTGAAACAGAAAACAAAGTAGCTTCTCGTTTAAAGGGAAGAAACTTTGATCTTAGACACCCCAAAAGCAGAAGATGCCTGAGAAGATTTCAGCTGTCCACAAGAAAGAAAAGATGACTTGGGTCATCCTACCACAAGGTCATCTCAGGAGTCAGACCCATAGATTGTGAACTTGAACTGAGCACCATGAACTTAATGGCTAGACATCCCCACTTCTGTGTGGCTCCCTGCAGCAGCCTGAGGTATTCTTCACGGTGCATCTGGTGGTGGACACAGCTTCATGGTAGAAACTGGGGCTCACTCTGCTCCACAATGGTAGCTACTGGCAGAGAGAGCTCTGTAGGACCTAAGGGCTTCCACCTTGATAATTGGGGGAAAAAACAAGCATAATTAGTGAAGTAGAGTCTGGTCTCAAATATGCGAACTGGCTCTGACTCAGTTCCTCCAGCTTGGCAGTGGAACAGCCCTCAGTCCTCACACGTTGGGAAGGCCGAAGCAGTGCTTCCTGACTTCAGCAGTGAGGGTGCTGGATGAGGTGGTCTTCGGGTCACTTTAATCAGGAGAAACATGACGTGGGGTCAGAGTACCCATGCTGCAGACACTGAGCAGAGTCACTGAGAGCCCAAGTCATGGAACAGAAAGTGGGAGGGATCTCTGCAGTTCACACTCACCCTTTCACCGAAGCCAAGTGTCATTAAACAGTACTTTTCTGTATTGACAAACCTGATTATGGCAAAGAGAGGTTCAGTTTTACTATTTGCTATAAAAAAATCTGAATTCATCGCCAAAAATTTAAAAAGACAGATGCATTGACATATATTAATAACAAGCAAAAAACAAACAACCCCCTTTTCACCTGCTGTTTTGTGCAGGCACCATCCAATTACTGCGGTTCATCTCCCAACCTGCTGGATGCAAAGGCATGGTCTGTTTTGGTAGGTCCCGTCCTGCAGTGTGACATGTGCCCCACTGAGTGACGTGTCCCACTGCAGACGTGAAGGGAAGCAAGTGGCTGGGTAGGGTGGGGAGTGGGTACATGTAACAGACTGTTTAATTGCATTAAATGGAAACAAATGTACACACAAATTTTGCTGTTCAGCTTAATAAAAAAAACGGTCACCACACCCATGGAGCGGGGTCGGGGTGGGGGGGGGGGGGTCTTAGTCTACACACCTCCCATTCTGGTAAGGGATCCCAGCCCAGAAGCTTCTTTGGCCCGCTCAGCCCTGATTAAAAACATCCAGGGCCAGGCATATGCTCTTTCCCTGCGAAACTCCATCAGTGAGCAGGTGCAGTAGTGGATTGGAGCCCTCGTGTCATTCATGCCACTGTTCACCTCCTGCTTCTGCGTCACATGGCTGCACAGAATGTGCCCCCTCCCCTGGCACAGCTGCTTCCGGTAGTTTCTGGACTCCAGTGTCTGCAGTACCTGCTGCTGCTCCTCTTTCCTCCACCGCACGTAGCATCTACTACACTCTTTTATGAAGACACGGATCTTTGTCAGATTTCTTCACTGCTACGTCCCTAGATTTAGAAAACTATCTTGCATGCAACAGGTGCTCAATAAATGTTTCTGGAGTGAATGGATGAATGAGCAGGTTCAATATGGAAATGAGAATAAGTCAACAATACAAAGATAGAACCATTAACATGTCTTCCAAACAACTGACATAGTGTGTAGTCAATGCTCTTTACCACGTAAGTGCCACGGACAGCCATGTTCTTCCTTTAAGGCAGGAGTACAACCCAAAGTCAGAAGTCACTGCAGCCCAAAGGTAGCTGATTAGAATTGGCAGGCTTGAGGCAGCAGCTTCTGCAGCTGCTGGTTCCCTGGAGCCTGCAGAAACCCCTCTTATAAATGCCACTCACCACATGCTCCTCTCCAGGCTCCCGTCCACTCCAGGGCCCTGGTGGAGCCACCATGCACAGCCCGGCCTCTGGACCAGCTTTTTCCATTAACACATCGGTAAGCAGATATCAGAGACCCTGGAGACCTATAATCGAACTGCTGTGTGACTGCAAATCATGTGTGCATCAGCACTGAGCTCATACTCAGGACCTTTTTACTAATGCCCCTTTCAAAGGATGGTAGTTAATGCTTACTAATCATAACATTTTGATTAAAATGTATGTGCCAACTGGGCTGAAATAAAACATCCCAAACGACTTCAAATTTGTCATATTAAAACAGTTTGGCCAAGAAAAGAAAATAAGGGAAGGTATGAAGACAAGCTTTATATTAGATAATACGTTTTTAAATGTTTTGCTGGTATTTAGTAGCCAATATTAGCTCCCAGTAGTTGAGCATGTTACTGATTTCACTCGCCCGATGCACAGTGAAACCACCCTGCCGACTCCAGGCTGTGAAGGAAAGTGCAGCATTTATTGCAGGGCACCAGCACAGAGAACGGGCAGCTTGTGACCAAACACCCAAACTCCCTGACAGCTTTCAGCTAAGCGTTTTTATTTTTTTATATATTTTTTAAAATATTTATTTTATTTGACTGTGCCAGGTCTTAGTTGTAGGATGCAGAATCTTCAGTCGCAGCATGTGGGATCTAGCTTCCTGACCAGGGATCAAACCCAGGCCCCCTGCATTGGGAACATGGAGTCTTAGCCACCGGACCATCAGGGAAGCCCCCAGGGAAGCGTTTTTAAAGGCAAGGTAAGGGAGAGGGTCAGGGGTGCCTGATCACTTGTGGACGTTTGTCCTGACTGGTGGGTGGTGCAGTAACAGGGTGTATTTCTAGAATCTACATCCATCAACCATCTGGTTCCAACCACTCGAGGGGTCTGCCTGCTGATTGTCAGCATGCAGCTAACTTCTCCACTTGATGGGGATTACTATTGGCAAATCATCTCAGGATAGGGCTCAGAATATTACCTATAGCCCTTGGGGAGGAACTAAAGGTCCCTGACTTTGTTTAATGACTAAACTATCATTGCTTTGACCTGCTTGACTGCTGCACTTGCTTCTCCATTTTTGCATTTCTCTGATTAAATCTGCTCTTTGGAAACTGGGCAAGGGCTAAGAGGCTAACGTTTTTCTACCAACGAGAGGTGGGGAACACAGGATGGTGGGGTCTGTCACCAAGAAGACCCAAGATCCTGCTTGGTTTCAAGCACTTTTCCACACCAGGTGCTGTGTGAAGCACTCAGCCACAATCCTGATACTCAGCTCTTGTTGTTTATCTGACAACACGCACTTGTTGTCTATCCGAAAGATGGGAATGCAGCCAGGTGGGCATTTGCCCAAGGTCAAACCACTAGCCCAGCAACACATGTGAGGTCCAGCCCTGTGCTCATAGCCCTGCTTTCTCTCCACCTGCCTTCCCCACTGAGGGCTATGATTCTGAACCCAGTTCTCAAGTCACCACATACTCAGTGAGCACCAAGGGCTGTGCATGCAAAGTAAACATCTCATCTCTGCTTCTGATCAGAAAAATATGTACGTGAATAGTTTAGAAAAAATGGTCCAAAGTGATATAAACCTCTAAGAATTTATAGTAAGCTGCGAGCTGGTGTCAGTCAAGAACACCTTCCTGGAAACAGATTTCAAGGAGAGAGGGGACCCAAAGTGTGGTCTGATGACACCTGGGTCAGAATTGTCTGGGCCAGTGCTTAGACCTTGGTTTTGACTCCTTCCAAAAGATAATGAGTAGGCATTGAGGAAACTGACCACAACATATTAAACACCACATACAACAAACCTACAGCTAACATCATTCTCAAGGGTAAAGAGCTAAGAGCATTCCCTCTAGGATCAGGAATAAGACAAAAAATATCCACTGTTGTGACTTTCATTCAACATGGTGTTGGAAGTGCTAACCATGGCAATCAGAGAAGAAAAATAAAAAGAATCCAAATTGGAAAAGAAGTAAAACTGTTACTGTTGGCAGATGACATCACACTACACAAAGAAAATCCTAAAGATGCTACCAGAAAACCGCTAGAGCTTATCGATGACTTCGGTAAAGTTGCAGCATACAAAATTAATATACAGAAATCGCGTGTATTCCTGTGCAATAACAGCAAAAGATCAGAAAGAGAAATTAAGGAAACAATCCCATCTACCATCTCATCAAGATAAAATAGGAATAAACATATCTGAAGAGACAATAAACCTGTACTCTGAAACTTATAAAATGCTAATAAAAGAAATCAGAGATGATCCAAAGAGATGGAAAGATATATACCATGTTCTTGATTGGAAGAATCAATATTGTCAAAATTACTGTATTACCCAATGCAATCCATATCAAATTACCAATGGCAGACTTCCCTGGTGGCCCCGTGGTTGAGACTCCACTCTTCCAAAGCTGGGATCACAAGGGATTAATCTACAAAATACACAAACAGCTCATGCAGCTCCGTATCAAACAGAACAACCCAATCAAAAAATGGACAGAAGATTTAAACAGAGATTTCTCCAAAAAAGGGATACAGATGGCCAAAAAGCCCATAGGACACCAACATCACTTAACTATCAGAGAAATGCAAATCAAAACTATAATGAGGTATCAGGTATCATTTCACATAGGTCAAAATAGCCACAATTTTCTTCCAGAGTTTTCTTTGACATACACAGGGATTTATTTTAAGGAATTGGCTGCCCTAATTTTGAAGGCTGCCAAGTCCAAAATCTGCAGAGTGGGTTAATTAAGATTCATTCAATACCCTACTGGTTAGTTTAGGTATCTTGACTAAAATCCAGAGTTCTACAAAAGTTGGTTCCGTTGTTTTGGTTTTGTTTTTTTGGCCAGTTTATTGTTTGTTTCAATGGGAGGATTGATTCTCAGAGCACCCACCTCTGCCATTTTCCATGATGTCACTATTTTTGAAAATTTTTAACCTTTAATTTTGAAATGAATGTAGACTTACTGGAAGCTGCATACCCTTCACCCACTTTTTCAGTAATGTCTCACATACTTGTAGCACAGCACCACAGCCAGGAATTTAACATGCACAGTGCAGCACAGAGCGCTTTTAAAAGATCACTTCAACAAGGCTTGGCTGTATGAAATTTCACATCAGGGACAAAAAGACCCTAAAAGCTTTCAGAGAGAAAAAAAAATAAAGCCATATACAGAGGCTCAGGAAGTGAAGTGGAAAACAATGAAGCAGTGCCTTCAAAATTCTGAGACCAAGTATTTTTATCTACATTTATATGTCCAACCAAACTTTGAGTGAAGAGTGGGAAGAGAAGGGACATTTTCAGATGTGCCAAGTCCTGGAAGCTACTGTGGCATGTCCTTCCCCATTTTATGGTCAAAGAGAGAGGTGGCAGAGAGGCCAGTAGACAGGGCTCCAGGAGGGAAGAAAGGCCAACAGCCATTCGGCTGCTAGTCAGAGAGTGAGATGGGCCTTCAGGAAGGACAGCACCAGGGAAGTGAGAAAGGGGTGTGCAACCTATGGGGTTTGACCTGCAGCAGAGGACACTGTAAGGTGCTGCAGAGAGCAGGTGAAGAACGTGGGGGCATTCAGCCAGGGACTTTGAAAAAATAAACAGATGAAAAGGAAAAGACATTACCTTCAAGGGGGAGAAAAGCTACATAAAGAAAATATAGAGACTCCCTTGGCGATCCGAAGCAGGGGCTGGTTCCATCTCTGGTCAGGGAACTAGATCCATATACCACAACTAAAGATCCCTCATGCTACAACTAAGACCAGACCCAGTCAAATAAATGTTTTTTTTTTTTTTTTAAAGAAAATGTAATTAACATATAGCTTTTCATTTGGTAATAAATAGTAGTTATGTATGTTTTAATTATAGAAACAATGTGATTTTAACCATAAGTTACAACACAGCTATACTGGAGATGGGAAGATGTGAGAGAGAAAATAACCATCTATCATAGCAGGAAGTCAACAGATTTTGTCTAAAATTGTTGAATCAAGAAATAGCAGAGTATGCTCATTTATTTTAGGAATCTAACAGTAAATGCCAAAACTGCCAAGAGTGTCTACAGAAGGGTAGAAGCATGCTGTGTGAAAAGGGTTAGAGGGATTGTTTTTGTCATAAATCTTTTACCTTTAAAAGCTATGTACATAAAAGTCTCAAAAATGAATTTTAATTTTGGATTGGAAGTATTGATATCAAAAGAAAAGCAGTATCTAAAAAAATGTGGTAGAATACAGTTCCACCCCTCCTTTATGGAGGAGAGCTTCTCTAGAATTATCATTTAAAACACACAAAAATTTTATTTTTGAAAATTGAGAAAATTAAAATCCTGGTTGGAGGTACCTTGATGTCAGCAGAACAGCTGAGAGCTTGGAACCACCAGCCCAGGCTGCAGTCCAGGTGGCGGTCCCAGACGGTGCATAGTCTCATCACAGCCAGAGGACAGAGCAAATGGCTCTCCAGGCCAATCCTAACTGTCCCTGTGTCCCCGTCAGGGTGGAAGCCCGACTCTAGCATGTGCATATCCGTGAAGGGGTAAGACAGGGACACACGTCAGCTATGTCTGAGGTAACAGCTGATGGCCAGATGTGTGAAGAGACAGGCAGTGAGCCTGTGGATCAAGGGCAAGGGAGGGGAATAGGGTATCCTCTGCAAAGAGAAAGCTCTTTAGCAAGACCCCAAGAGTTGGCAGGAGAACTGAGACTGAGGTGGGGACAGATGAGGCCCCATAGCCGTCTGAGCAAACCAGGCTCAGGCTCAGCAGAGCAGGCGTGTAGGCTTGACGTGCAGTGGGCAGCATGGCAGCCTGCCCTGCTCCCAGCAGGTCTGCCCCACAGGCAGAGCCACTGGTCAGGCCTGCTGTGCTGTAAGGTCACGGCCGACCAGCCTGATGGTGGCTGGTGACGATGGCTATGACCCGGGAGCTCCCACCTCTCCCAGTCCAGCCAGGACCATGCTCCAGACTCGCTTCTTCCTTCGCTTCTCTTTCTTATTTTGGTGAGGCATCAGATTAAAGATTGAGGCAGCTGAGCTCTAGTTTGTGAGGCAAGAGAATGTGATAGGGTCCACAACAAAGCAGCAGCATCAGACACACACCAAACACACATGCACACATGCAAGTAGGATGCTCAGCAGTCAGGTAGGCTCTCTGCCTGTGATCAGCTTAGTGGTGCATTCAAGGAAGAAGGCCATGACCTTGGGTTCAAGGTGAAGGTTCTGGCAAACCTATGCATCAGTGCCTTAGGCAAAAAGCAGGAAGCTCTTTAAAGGAGCCCAAGCCATAGGGCTCATGCCTGCTGACTGAAGAATCAAGTGTGCATATGTGCTGCAGACAGACCAACTGAGGGTGGGAAGTGGGGCCAGAGCTTGAAAAGCCAAGAGTAGGAGGAGTTCCAGGGCAGGAGAGGAAGGATCCTCTCAGCAGAGGGAGCAGTGAACCCTGACCTTATGAAGCAGAGATGACTGCTGACCACACCAGCGTCAAATCTGCCCTGACACCCCAAAGGCTCAGGAGAAGAAAACAGAGTATTTGAGAAGCTCAAAGAGATGCTGGGAAATGACTTCGAGCACTAAAAGTTCAAGCACTAAAAACAAAGGACCAGTGATGGCACACGGCTGGCAGCAACAGGAAGGGTGGCCTACTGGTCACAGTGCTGACACCTGGGCCCAGGGCATCCGCACAAGATCATGGGCAGGCACTCCAGTCTTATTCTCAATAAAATCCCCTTCAGATCAGCCCTCCACACTGGACCTGCTGGTGAGACCCTCCTGCTAAGGATACAGCAGTCCCAGAACACATGACTGCGTGCTGAGAACCGCTTGCAGGAAAAGCCGAACTGCCCTTGGAGACGAGATGACAAACCTGAACACAAATCTCGCCACAAAACAAGCTGGTGCATCAGGACAAGGATGAAACCAGTTCGGTCTTTCTCTACAGGGCGGGGCCCCGCACAGAGGTGCATCCCGCAGACCCCTCCCAGCACGCAGGCCGCACACGCCGCTGGGAGCCCTGTGGGCGCCACATCCTCCCGGTTCAGGAATCCTGTAGTTACCGCCGCTAAGCACAGGGGACGCTGCAGGCCTCGTTAGCTCAGTGCACGTTCCGCATTTTCAATTATCCACTCAATAGCAGCCCAGCCCTAGAGCAACACAGAGAGAAGCCAGTGCGCGGTCAGAGGTCGTCCTGCTGTCTCACTGAAGAGCAGACAGGGAGCTACGCGGGTCAGGTGAACGCAAAGGAGACACCAGGCCCAGAAACAAGGCAGGCAGCGCACATAATTCGAGCCCCAACCAGAGCTCCACAGAGCCCCACCCCATCCCTGCCGTCACCTCCTGAGGCCTCTCAGACCCCTCCATGAGTGGCCCCTAACCTCCGCTCCTGAACCTCGGGTGTGGGGTAACCCACCTCTCCACCTCCACCTCCCCCACCATCAGCTGGTAGCTAGCTGCCCCGGGGCACCCCTGACCTGGCCTGGGGTGCTGTGGGATGGTAACGACAGCTGAAGAAGCCGTGATTCTCCACAGGCCTCCAGCACAGCAGCCCCTAAACACAGGAAATGAGAGGTCTGCATTTAACCTCACCGAGTCTCCCCTGACTTTTCTCATAAAGGGCTAAGGGACTCTGTCTTTGCTGAGAGTTGCCTTCCTCATAGAATATTCTTCTCCACAAACACTCAGGCCTGCCCTAAGCCAGACCGTGGACAAACAAAGTGAGTTGTGTGTCTATCCTCTGGGCTCACAGTGTGGATGTGATAAGTGCTGCTCTGGGTTGGAAGCGGGAGACACTATCCTGAGCTAAGCTACTCTCAACCTTCCTCAAATCTGGATTTTTCTAGAAACACGACAGACTGGTTCTGTATTGTGACTGGACTAATGCGCCTAAATGCAAGCATAAACAGCTCTCAGCCAAGCCCTGACCTGAGTGCACTAGGAAGGGAAGGCTGAGGTGCCGTGCCATTGGTCGCAGACAGAAACCAAGGGGGAAGGGAGAGTGGAGGATGGCAGAGAGGGGACTGTATGCCCTGGCAAAGAGTTAGGCCCTGGCACCTCATCCTTCCCAGGGTCCCTCCAGAAGGCTCACTCCCAAATCCTGCCAGAGGTACTCAAAATCCCAGTTAAATACAAAACTGCTAAAAATCGTGAATGTCCTGCATGCCTACGCCCACACTTGTCCTGGATGTGTGGGGTCTGTCTTGTTAAGAGTCCAGGTAGCTCAGCTGCTGCTGGAAGTGGTGGCTTGCCTCGCTAGCCTCTGCTTCCCGCAGGCCTGGGGCCCTCCCCATTGCATAGGCTCAGTAGGATGCCCGCTCCTTTGGCCACCCCCCCCCAACAGTGAGAGGTGGTACCTTCTTTGCGTTGGACGATATCGTGTTGGCCATTAAACTCTCCAGATAGCTGCCCAGGCTGACTCCCTTCACGGTGATGACAGCTTCCTGAGTGAGCACGGTCCTGCAGGAGAGCGCGCTGGAGATGAGAGGCTGAGCAGTCTGGAGGGGGAGCTCCTACCCTGCCCCGCCCCACCCAGGAGTTCAGTCCACTTACTTTCCTGGGTCCTCCGGGTGGGATGTGTACACCAGCCTCTCACTCACCGACACCAAGTTTGTGAGTGTGATCTTAAAAAAGTATACAATGGCTGTAGGTTCTACTTCTCTTGCATTTCTTCCCAAACTGCCCACAGTCTCACAACTCCACACCTGCACTTACTGGAGCCAGAGCAGAAGGAACGCCGAGGCCCACACATCCAGACCGCTGTTCTGGTGATACCACCCTCCCTCCACACCCCACACAAACCTGAGCCTGTCTCATGAGCAGTCACCACTGTATATGCAATGTTTTTACGCAAGACGCTGTTTAATAAACCTTATTTTCTTTCCTTGATCCTCAACCACACTGTGAGGTCTGTTCTTTCTTTTTTAAATGAGGAGCATGAGACTCAAAGGCTGATCACTAACACTCACAGCCACACAGCAACTTGGTGATCACCTGTCCTCCCCAAAGCCATCCCTTCAACCCTCCTCCCCCCCTTCCTCCTGAGCCAGAACTAGCCCCCTCTACTGACAACTCGACTTTCCGCAAAGAGGAAGTGGAATTTTCTGAGAGAGAACAATATATAAACCATCAGGAACTGGCCAATGTGCAAACACCCGGCCAGCTCACTCTGCCTCTGTGGAAGGGCTGCCTGGCCTGAGGGAAGGAGCCATTGACTAAGGTCCAAAGGGTCAACTGGGAGCTTGCACCTGCAGTGACCCCACCCACAGGGTAAGGGGATGGCATAACCATGCTCCAGCCCACCCAATTCCCCCAATATGCTCTCTAAATTTGCATCAGGCCAATATCAATGGTTCCTGATTGTGAGACAGGAGAGAGGAAGGTGGGAGGAAGTGGCTGTTTCAGTGGCTGCTAAGAGACACATGTGCTGCTGTGGGCAAGACAGCAGCTGAGAAGGGGCTGGGGGCAACAGGGAGGCAGGAGTCTGTCCCCGGGTTACAAAGGTGTGTTCACATCATTATGTGTGTTCTTCAATATGTTTTTACACTGTAATAAAAAGACAAGATACTGCTAAAGCAAACTCAGCCTTTCTATTAAAAGATCACAGACCAAAGGTGGGCTGGAAACACAATTAAATGAAGACATTATGCACCATTGTGGCTATTGCTTACATTGGTGGAGCAGAGCTCCATTTTCTTTTCCACTGGATCCACGATAGAATGTTCTCTGATGTATGTCAAAGTCCTACTGGTCCCCAAAATCTGAAAAAGAAAGTGAAACCAGCATGGTGACGTTGTCATGCCCTCAAACACTGCATGTCACTTCAGATCAGCTACTAATTTCTTCAATCAGGCTGCAGCAGCACCTCCAGCTCCTCCAGCAGCTGTTGTCCAGCAGGTGGGACAGACAGACACATGAATTAGGGATGGAGGAGAAAGTGGGGCAGGACCTGGGGCACTGAAGTCAGGGTCTGGCTGGTAAGTCAGCTGAGGACCAACCTTGCCCCCTGCACCGCCTGCCCACCCCAACCACCAATGTGCAGAGCTAGCTCTGGGGCTCAGGCCACACCTGGCAGGGCAATGGAGCTGCAACGGGGCCTTCAGAGGTGGGAAGCGGGGGCTGTGAGGGTTTGGGTTTCCTGTGGGGGGTGTCACTGCCATAGGTGTGTCAGGGGACATGCTGAACACTCAAGTGAACAATTAATTCACAGAGAACAAACTATCTCTCAGGCTTCCCAGAAAGCCCAAATGGGAAGGTTGATACTCCCTACGTATGGGTGCCACCCAGGTGTAGACAGGCTGTGTTGGTGTAGCTGGGCTCCCAAGGTGCTCACCGCTCTCACGAGGCTGGGCAGCCCCCACTCGGTGCTAAGGAGGCGGTGGCTGTGAAGCCGGCCCCGGCCATCCACACTGCGCTCCAGCACGTCAACACCCACAACACAGGGGTTCATGGGATTCGGGTACTTCCTCATGGCCGCCTTGATGACCGTGTCCCACGGGTGGCTGGAAGAGACACAACCACCAGCACTGAGTGGCAGTGTGTTCAAAGTCAGGTCAACCTGATCCTCGAGCTTGTTCCAGATCCTGGATCCCTGATCCTCCCAGTGACCAGGGGGTAGGCAGCGAGGGGTACAGAGTAGACTCAGGCTGGGCCGGCCCTGCTTAACTGAGGATCCCTCCTTCGCCAGTCCCCCATAGCCTAAGGAGGCAGGACACTGGTATTCGGCTTCTGGACAGCGACACAATGTTCCCATCCCCTTCCTGTCACCACCACTGACCTCAACACACACACACTAACTATGCTGCTCCACAGGCTGCAAGGCCAGGGCCCATTTCTGCCTCTGCCCACACAGCCGCAGTGACTGCAAGGGCCCTTTGCTGACCACCCACCTGCCTCCACACTGCAGCCTCGTGCCACAAGCCAGGACGGCACACCTGCCTAGCTATGAGGTCCAGAGCAACTGCTCTGCTCCAACTTCTAAGCAGTATGTGACCTGAAATGGCTATATATTTTTTTCTGATTATTAAAGTGTCTATATTTTGAAAAATAATGAAAAAGATGAGGAAAACAAAAATTCACAATTCCACTACCTGGAGACAAATCTGTGCATGTGTCCCCATGCTGCCCCTAAGGCTTGTCCTGCAGACGCCACCCCTGCCTCTGGTCTTAATCCCTGGAGAGGGGTGGACACCAGCATCCCTGTTGGTTTCCTGCCGTCAGAGCCTGCACAGCTGCCCCTGCCTCCAGGGTTTCAGGCCCGCTGAGGCCGAATGCCATAGGACCACAAAGGGCGCAGTCAGGCCCTCAGGGAGGACCTTCCCCAGGCCTTGCTGTCCTGACCGTTCCTCCAGGGGGCGCCAGGCAAGCATCCAGCCCCAGAGGCAGGTGTCTCCACAACATGTCCTTCCCCAGATGACAGTCCAGACTCAAGACCTGGAGACAAGCATCCATGCGCAGACATGCACACACTTAGAAATTAAACTGGGGTCATGCTCCATGCATGCACAAATCACCTCCTTTTTATATGGAACAGATGATGAGCATTTTCCTGCATCATGAGGCTATTTTCAGGAATACAGGACTGTAACTAGCGGCACAAAAGGTCACCCTGTGGTATAGCCAGTCCCCTCTGGCAGATTATTTTGATTACATCCAACCTTTACTGTAAAATGAAGGCAGAAGTGAACATGTGTGCACACCAGCCTTTCAACATGTCTATCTGTCCTTAGGATAAATTTATAGAGTGGAATTACTAAATTAAACATCAAAGATCATGAACATATTGAAGAATGTTCCATATTTGATGTCCTTTTTAAATATAACTTTATCGTGGTCACTGACCATGAAATTTACTTTGTCAAATTCACTGACCATGAATTCACTTTATCCTCATAAAAGGCTCAGTTCAGTTCAGTCACTCAGTTGTGTTGACTCTTTGCGACCCCATGGACTGCAGCATGCCAGGCCTCCCTGTTCATCACCAACTCCAGGAGTTTACTCAAACTTGTGTCCATTGAGTTAGTGATGCCATCCAACCACCTCATCCTCTTTCGTCCCCTTCTCTTCCCACCTTCAGTCTTTTCCAGCATCAGGGTCTTTTCAAATGAGTCAGCTCTTCCCATCACGTGGCCAAAGTATTGGAGTTTCAGCTTCAACATCAGTCCTTCCAATGAATATTCAGGACTGATCTCCTCTAGGATGGACTGGTTGGATCTCCTTGCAGTCCAAGGGACTCTCAAGAGTCTTCTCCAACACCATAGTTCAAAAGCATCAATTCTTTGGCGCTCAGTGTTCTTTATAGTCCAACTCTCACATCCATACATGACTACTGGGAAAACCATAACCTTGACTATGCCAAACCTTTGTTGGCAAAGTAACATCTGTGCTTTTTAATATGCTGTCTAGGGTGGTCATAACTTTCCTTCCAAGGAGAAAGCATCTTTTAATTTCATGGCTACATCATCTACAGTGATTTTGGAGCCCAAGGAAATAAAGTCTGCCACTGTTTCTCCATCTATTTGTCAGGAAGTGATGGGACCAGATGCCATGATCTTTGTTTTCTGAATGTTGAGCTTTAAGCCAACTTTTTCACTCTCCTCTTTCACTTTCATCAAGAGCCTGTTTAGTTCTTCACTTTCTGCCATAAGGGTGGTGTCATCTGCATGTCTGAGGTTATTGATATTTCTCCCGGCAATCTTGATTCCAGCGTGTGCTTCATACAGCCCAGCATTTCTCATGATGTACTCTGCATATAAGTTAAACAAGCAGGGTGACAATACAAAGCTTTGACTTATTCCTATTCCTATTTGGAACCAGTCTGTTGTTCCATGTCCAGTTCTAACTGTTGCTTCCTGACCTGCATACAGATTTCTCAAGAGGCAGGTCAGGTGGTCTGGTATTCCCATCTCTTTCAGAATTTTTCAGTTTACTGTGATCCACACAGTCAAAGGCTTTGGCACAGTCAATAAAGCAGAAATAGCTGCTTTTCTGGAACTCTCTTGCTTTTTTGATGATCCAGCAGATGTTGGCAATTTGATCTCTGGTTCCTCTGCCTTTTCTAAAACCAGCTTGAACATCTGAAAGTTCACGGTTCACGTATTGTTGAAGCCTGGCTTGGAGAATTTTGAGCATTACTTTACTAGCGTGTGAGATGAGTGCAATTGTGCAGTAGTTTGAGCATTCTTTGGCATAAAAGGCTCATCCCAGGTCAAAAAGTTAGCAAGAGGATGCAGATTAGAGTCGGGCCTCCCAGCCCCTACTCCACAATCTTTCAGTCACACAATGGCCTCTGCACTGTCAGGTCCAGACACCCTGCTCTTTAACACAGAAATGTTTTTTCAAGCTGTGGAATTGTGTCATTGTGCTAAACACATCCACCAGATCCAACATAAGGGGATGAAGGAGCAGAGACAACTGGTTCCAATCACTCAGCAGAGTACAGGGAGACTTTCTCCTTGGGAAACCACCATCAGGGCCACAGTGCACCACACTTTGGGGAAGAAGGGAGCACCCACAGACTCACGAGAACACAAGGGGGAGCTTTCACAGTGAGTGAAGCTGTATGTGCATTTTGTAAGTCAAGCTCTCAGAGAGGTCCCATAAAAATCATTATGCAGAATAGGCTATGCCTCCTAAAATTACTTGAAACTATCTAAAAGTTGACAAATATTTGTAATATAAGCACATCTCACACAAAGTTTCTTTTATATAGAAACTGCATCTTTCTAACAGATGATTTCAACTAAGCACAATGTGTTTAAAATATTCATAAAAATAATTCCAGACATCAGTAGAATGACACAGGAAAAGAATAAACATAGTATTTTTTTTAAATTACAAGGTTTAAGTGCACAAGTTAGTATCACACACTTCTTGGTTAAAGAAAATAGCTCAGGGACTTGCCTTATGGTCCAGTGGTTAAGAATCTGCCTGCCCAAATGCAGGGGACATAAGTTGGATCCCAGGTCCAGGAAGATCCCACATGCCACAGAGCAACTAAGCCCATGAGCAGCAACTACTGAGTCTGTGTACCTATAGACTGTGCTCCACAACGAGAGAAGCTACCACAATGAGAAGCCTGCACATCACAACAAAGGGCAGCCCCTGCTTACCACAACTAGAGAAAGCCTGAGCACAGAAATGAAGACTCAGCACAGCCAAAAATAAATAAATTTAAAAAAAGAAAAGAAAATAGCCCAATACTCATTTGCTTGGCTAAAGCTGAGGAGTCTAAAATGTCAAGTGTCAGGAGAACGTGAGAGCAGGAAGCCAGGCCTACGGGTGAATATATGAACCGGCCCCACCCCTGGGAGACTCTGGTTGATGAAATTCATCCTTGGAATAAAGGTCCCCAGCTGAGGCTCAGAGTGATACAGAGGCCTGGGAGCTGCCCCGGGAGGCCTCTATGCCTGCATTTCAAGAACGTGTCAGCAGCAGCACTGGGGCTGGGGGCAGATGGCTGGGCTAGCGGTCAGGGAGGGGGCAATTCTGGGTGCCACACCAGGGTACTAGAAAGGAAGAACAAGGCAGCTCTATACTCAGATAGAGTGTAGGAAAGAGGAAGTGGGGTGAGGTCTGAGGTCTTAGCCTACAGCAACCCACGGTAAGGGGCAGTAGGCTGAGCAAACATCAGTCATGAGACTCCCACAGCCCAGGGGAGGGTGCTGGTGCTCATTATTCCAGCCTCCAAACATCCATAATGACTCAAAAAAAAAAAAGACGTAGGAAAATTCCTGGAGCCCAAGCAACCCTGGGTCAGCCCAGCGGTTCTTGAAGTGAGGACAACAAAGCTAGCTCCCAGGCCCCTCTGGGAGCCTGGCTGCTGCTGAGAGGGCCTGCCCTCCTAGCTGCAGGACACCAGTCGAGGTTGCAGGAGCCCCATTGAGGCCACAACTGTTGGCCTCTCCCCAGGAGTGACAGCCAGGCCAGGCTGTTTGGTGCTCACTGCTGAGTGGCGCATTGAGAAAGTCCACCAGCACCGGGGTCTGTCCCTGATAAGATAGTAAAAGGCCTCATTTCCCACACCAGGACCCCTGGCTCTGAGCAAGGGCACAAGAAGGACTGGGAGGCCTCACTGTGGTTGGAAGCGCTGGTGGCTGCAGGATGGGGAGGGCGGGTGCTGGGTAGAGGGGGGAGTTCAGTGGTCCAGTCGAGTGCTTCCTGGCTATCACTTCTCCTCTAAACCACTAAACACAAACTGTAGTCACTCAGACATGGGTGTTGGACAGGAGTCTGCTTAAAGATCAGTGAAGTGATCCTGTTACTTACAGGAAAATACGTGACAGCATTTGCTGCCAAAGATAAGAGTTTGAGCTTCACAGAGACAACTGGAATTTTAGAAAGCCGGCATCACTATCCGATGCTTGCCCCACGTTGTACCCGGTAACCACACAGCCTAGTGACTACTGCAACATGTCACAATTCACAGGGAGAAGGAGTCATTCAAAGTACCAGACAGGCCAATTACTCTGGTCAGTCGTGGTGTCGGGTTTCCCGCTGCAATTAATCTGAAAAACTATGGCTTGTTTTGCTGTAGTAGCAAAGAACAGCCATGACTATTTTTAAAGATTTCTGAAATACTGCTACCTTTCCCACATAGGCTTTACTCACATACAGTGTGTTAGGCTGGGTTTTAATCATTTACTTGAGCCAAAACAACAGAGTGCAACACTGAACACAGAAGCTGATGGAAGCATCAAGTCAGCATCTACGCTGCCTGACATTATAGAAATTAGCAAAAAATAAACAGTGCCACTCTTACTACTTTGAAAAGTTTTGGAAGATACAGGTTTTTTAAATTAAAAAATGTTACTTATGTTAATGTCATGTGTTTATTATGGTTAATTTTAATAAATATTTTAAAATTTATCAGTCTTAATTTCTAATGTGATAAATATTAGTAGATTTAACCCACACCAATATTTTCTAAGAGTGTAAGGAGGTCCTGATGCTGAAGAGTTTGAGGACTTCTGGCCTAAGTAAGCTCTTGATTACATGAATCACAAATAGATACAGAAGTGGTCACCACAGCTTGATTTTTAATAAGGGAGAAATTATGTCCCTTCAATAAGAGAAAGAATAAATGGTGTATGTATATACATATACACACAGATCTCAAACAGATACACACATACATCTCAGGAACACACTGTTGAGAAGAAAAGGAAACTGAAAAGCGCTGTCCAAGATGGTGCCAGTCATTTCTATTTTAAAACAATGAACAATAGTTTAAGGGTGAAAACAGAAACATCAAGTGGACCTTCAGGAGGCTGCCCAGCAGGTTCATAACTGAGACTGCATGTGGGAGCGAGGAGGGAACACCACTGGGGTGGGGACAGCGGACACTGGGCACTGCAGCTCCTGCCTGCAGAGCCTCATTTCTCTTATTTAAAAAGGATGGGGGGCCTTTCCCTGCTCCCAGCCAGACAGCAAGCCCGCTTTAGGGTAGCCTCTCCTCCAAACCCTACTTCCCTGAGATGACACTGCCTACTAGATGGCCATCATTAAAAGTCCTGGGGTCGGCTAGAACCCACGTAGCATACATCCTTGACTCTGTTAGAAATCTACTCATACTGGTTGTGCCAGTAAAGATTTTGTTATAGGTCCACCTGAAATCTCAGGTGTGAGGATGGGATTTATAAACCTGTAATTATAAGCCTGTTAATTTTTAAGTACCCCCTTCTGTATGTTTTTATTTCAGTCCTGTGTTTTCCACTACTATTTAAACTACTTTAAGCCAAAGAGCTCTCCACTACTTCGGGTTTACACTGCTCTCAGCACTGTCTGATCTCTATTCCTAGGGTTTCTTCAGTGCATAAATACTGGAGGAAAACTTGATAAAATCAAAATTTTTTGCACCTCAGCAAAGGAAACCATAAATGAAAGGACAACCTACAGAACAGGAGAAAATTTTGCAAACGATGCAACTGGTTAATTTTCAAAATATACCAACAGCTCAATACAGAAAAGGGGGGAGGGGCAGAAGACCTAAGTAGACATTTTATCTCCAAAGAAGACATAGAGAGTGCAGCAACTATACTCCAAAAAAAATTGTTTTTAAAAAACTTTAAAAAGAAGACATACAAATAGCCAGTAAGCACATGAAACAATGTTCAACATTGCTAATTATTAGAGAAATGCAAATCAAAACAATAATAAGGTACCACTTCACACTGGTCAGAATGGCCATCATTAAAAGTCTACAAATAACAAATGCTGAAGAGTGTATGAAGAAAACAGAACCCTCCTTACACTGTTGGTGGAAATATAAAGTGATACAGCCACTATGGAGAATAGTATGAAGGTTTCTCAAAAGCTACCATATGATCCTGCAATCCCACTCCTGGGCATATATCTGGAGAAAACTAGAACTCTAAAAGATACATGCACCCCAATGTTCACAGCAGCCCTATTTTACAATAGCCAAGATATGGAAGTAACCTAAATGTCCATCTACAGAGAAACAGATGAAGAATATACATGATGTAATACTATTTAGCCATAAAAAAGGATGAAGTACTGTCATTTGCAGCAACATGGATGAACCTAGGGATTATTATATCAAGTGAAGTAAGTCAGGCCAAGACAAATACCATAGGATATTGTCTATACGTGCAATCTGGGGGGAAAAATGATACAAACAAACTTACTTACAAAAAGAAACACACTCACAGACATAGAAAACAAATTTATGATTACCAAGGGGGAGGATGGGATTAAATTAGAAGTCTGGGATTAAAATATACACACGAGTATATATAAAATAAATAACAAGGACCTGTGTAAGCATAGGGAACTATACTCAGTATCTTGTAATAACCTATAAAGGAAAAGAATTTAAAACAGAATATACATACACATACACACACACACACACTGCAGTCCAGGGGTTAAGATTTTGCACTTTCATTTCAGGGAGAGCAGATTCAGTCCCTGGTCAGAGAACTAAGATCCCTAATGTGGCCACAAAAAAACAAAACCCCAAAACGAATACAGCATTGTAAATCAACTGTATTTCAACTTAAAAAATTTAAGTCTTTGTGCCTGATTATTTTTGGCCTTTCAAGAGTAAATTTTAATATTTCCAACCAAATATTCAACAAACATATAAAAAGAGAACACGTGTAGAAAGAAAAAGAAATATATAATTCTCAAAGGAAAAAATCAGGCATTTAAAGGGACTAAGCAAGGGGAAAGTCTATAGTAAGCTCAGCTAGAAAGTCAGGCTTCCAACTCTGCACCATCCTGCAGGTACAGTGCCACCTGCCACACAGCATCTCATGACCCACCCTGGCAGCCGTGTGGCCTCCTCTCAGCTGTCTTTCACATTTGTCAATTTTCATCAAGGCACTTGGCTTTTAAGTTCACAAATCAGTGACAGGAGAGCCATGCCTTCCACAGCAGTTCGTGTATTGATGGGAATTCCTCTGGCGAACAGCCACCCTCATTTCAAAGGGCACCTGGTCCCTATGATATTCCTCAGTCCCTCAATGAGTAATAACTATGTGCCAGGGACACAAAACCAATGAGGTGAGGACATAAGCAGGAATGCAGGCTCCCACAACAATGAAGCTAAATAAAAGCAGCCAGACACAAAAGACCATGTGGTATATGACTGCATTTATGAGAAACGTCCAGAAAAGGCAAATTCATAGAAACACAAGCAGATACTAATCTGCCTGAGGAGACTGGAGTGTGACTGCAGATGGGCATGAGGGGTCTTTGTAGGACGAGGAAATGCTCTGGACTACAGAGATGCTGTACAACTATGTAAATTTACTACAAGTCTCTGATTTATTTGTATGATTTGAACTGTATGATTTAAATGGGTGAATATTATCATGTAACTTTTCAGAGCTAACAAATCACTTCTATTTATCAGCCAACATCTCCTGAACTTGTAGGGCAGTTCTGGCCTGAGCTGCACAGCTTGGGCATCCACCATTCCCAGGACTTAACTTGTACCCCTTGCATCCAGATGGTGCTGGCATGCCCCATCCTTGGGAGAACTGAGAAAATCTCTGGAGTCAGTCTGGGAATGGAATCCAGTTGAGAAAGGCTACATGCTGTACAAAAATCAACACTAAAATTGAATCCCATCAAGTCTAAAGATTTCATTAAAATAATTTCAGAGGTTTTAAACCCATTGATAAATTTTAATTAAATTTTACATGAAAAGGACAAAGTACTTTTTTAAATTACAAAATGTAAATGCTATTCTAAATGGGATTAGAAAATTTTAAAATCTGTTACTTTAAAAAAATATGAAAGAATGAGCTCTGAGTGTCACAGATGAAGTAGACAAGAGACGATACCGCCTAGGTTAGGAGAACACTTGTAAGCAGCTGGAGGCTTTCCATGCCCACCTGCGTTCGCGGCCACAGAACCCCACGTGCCCAGGCTAGCGCCCTCTGGACCCGGTGGTCAGCCGCATAGCGGGTCCTGACCCCACCCCGAGTGATGGCCCCGCGCGAGGTGAGACCAGGCCTGTGGAGCCGAGGATGCCGTCCCCTCACCCTGGGGCCTGGAGTGCATCACTGCCCTTCCCGCGGCCCAAAGAGTAACAGAGCCCGCCCTCCTCGAGGCCGCAGGTCAGGCCCAGGTGGGTCTGGACCCACTGAGGCCTCAGCCCGCTCACCCGAACACATGCTCTGAGCTCCAGACCCTCATCACACCGCAGAGCGCGGCCAGGGATGCTCCAGACCTGGGGATGCTCGGCTCCGTTCGGGGGCGGAGCGAGAGCACGCGGAGGGCGGGGCGGGACTCAGCGCTGAGCCCATACATCACGTGAGCGCCGGTCCCAGGGCTCAGCAGAGGCGCGCGGAGTGCAGCCGTGTAGGTGGTGGGCGCGGAGCGCCACCTTCTGGAAGTGGGCAGGGTTCACTCCTATAGGTCAGATGGTCCAGATTCTGGGAAAGCCCCTTCCATCCAGGCAGGTTCCACCACAGTGGGAAAGGATGCGTAACTGTGTCCTGCCAGCCCGACAAGCCTCTCCACCGAGTGGAGGAGGAAGGAAGCAGAAGGTGTAGAAAGGCCTTAAATCAGAACGTGAGACTCCTCGCAGCCCCTCCGCCTCAGGATTTGAAGACTCCAAGAAATCCAACCCTTTACGTAGCCACATTGCTGAGACCCTCTCGACCCGTTCTCAAGTATGAGGACTGACAGCACTACTTGTCAGAGCTCATCCTAAATTCACCCGGCCACTGGAGTGGCTCCTCGGATTTGCTACTTGTCTTCACCCAAAGGAGAGATACATTTCTCATTCCCATAGGAGGTGGGGTTGCAACTGGAAGCCTGGTGCTCTCTGGAACTTAGGCTGACATTTCAAAACGATGACTCCTTTGTCATCCAGATCCCTGAGAAGAAAACATTCCTAGGTTGTTCAACTAGCTAAAGGCCTACTTGGCCTTTTAAAATGTTTATATACATCTCAGAGCTAAATCAGCAGCACTAGAGGTCCCTTCGGGGAGATTTAAAGAACCCTTTTGCGGAAGGAACATATTCGCTTATACGGTTTCAGAATGTCAAGTACTGTGTCCTACTGGATTCTCAGTTCTGCAAGGAAGACCATTGCCACATTACAGGGGAGACAATGTTTATATTCAAGGTATGCCTCAAATAGGATTAAATCAAAATGGAGACTCTTTCCTCAGGGGCCAGCCACCCTAAAAGACAACGCCGCTGCATGTGGTAGCATTGCTCTGCGGAAAGCCTACAGACACACATCAACGGAGGAAGAGGACTTCCACTTGCAGCTCAGCCCCGAGCAGGTAAATGAGGTCCTGCGAGCTGGTGAGTCGGCCCACAAGATTCTTGACCTTGTCAGCAGAGCTCCAGATTCAGTGTTACGGTTTGAGAGCAACCAGCTAGCTGCCAATTCCCCAGTGGAGGACCGGGGAGGTATAGCTGCCTGCCTGCAGACCAATGGACTGCTGTTTGGCATCTTCGATGGACATGGTGGCCACGTATGTGCTCAAGCAGTGAGCGAGAGGCTCTTCTACTATGTGGCTGTGTCACTAATGTCCCAGCAGACTCTGGAGAAAATGGAGGAGGCCATGGAAAGCATGAAGCCCCTGCTGCCCATCCTTCAGTGGCTCAAGCACCCAGGGGACAGTATCTACAAGGATGTCACGTCGGTGCACCTTGATCACCTCCGTGTCTACTGGCAGGAGCTGCTAAACCTGCACATGGAAATGGGGCTGAACACTGAGGAAGCATTAATGTACTCCTTCCAGAGATTGGATTCTGACATCTCGCTAGAGATTCAGGGCCCCCTCGAAGATGAGATGACCAGGAACCTTTCACTCCAGGTTGCTTTCTCAGGGGCAATGGCTTGCCTGGCCCATGTTGATGGGGTTCACCTGCACGTGGCAAATGCTGGTGACTGCCGGGCCATCCTTGGTGTCCAGGGAGACAATGGCATGTGGTCTTGTCTGCCCCTCACCCAGGACCACAATGCCTGGAACCCAGCCGAGCTGTCACGGCTGAAAAGGGAGCATCCTCAGTCCGAGGACAGGATGGTCATCATGGAAAACAGGCTGCTGGGTGTCCTCATGCCCTGCAGGGCCTTTGGGGACGTCCAGCTGAAGTGGAGTAAAGAGCTGCAGCGCAGTGTCCTGGAGCGGGGCTTCGACACCGAGGCCCTCAACATCTACCAGTTCATCCCCCCACACTACTACACCCCACCTTACCTGACAGCCAGGCCAGAGGTCACCTACCACAGGCTGAGGCCCCAGGATAAGTTCCTCGTGCTGGCCTCTGATGGGCTGTGGGACGTGCTGGGCAACGAGGATGTGGTGAGGCTGGTGGTGGAGCACCTGGCTGAAGAGGGTCAGCACAAGCCAGACCTGGCCCAGAGACCCACCAACCTGGGACTCATGCAGAGCCTGTTGCAGCAGAGGAAAGCCCAGGGCCTCCACGCAGCCGACCAAAACGCGGCCACACGTCTGATCAGATACGCCATAGGGAACAACGAATACGGGGAGATGGAGCCTGAGTGGCTGTCGGCGATGCTGACGTTGCCAGAGGACTTGGTGAGGATGTACAGGGATGACATCACAGTCACCGTGGTGTATTTCAACTCAGAATCGATTGGTGCCTCTTCTAAGAGGAGTTAAGAGTCTCCCTCCCTGTTGCCAAGGTTAACTTCAATGTTCTTCTGAGACATTTTCCCTTACTCTGAACCTGGCTCTTTAGACCCTATGGTTGAAGGGCAGGCGGATAGATGCAGCTTGCTTAATTATAGACTAATGTGAGGAAAAAACAGCCTTAGGTTAAAAACAAATCTAGTGATTTTATGTGCCTGAGTGTTTTGATCACCTCTTCTACGCAGAGACAGTAGAGCACAGAGATGATCTACTTGTCTTGGGCTCATGTAACCCAAGTCCTTTTATAAAGACACTGTTAAAACTGTCTGCCTGAGCCTGGAAAGGGTAAATTTAATTATGATTCTAAGAATATGAAGAAGTCCAGGATCTTCTGAGCTCTTGCTGCAAAATCTGCAGACTGATAATTCTCTCTGTGTAATCATGGACTTCTACACTATGAAGAGAGGTTTTTGTTTTTTATTCTGAAGTTACTAAAGACCTAGGTTTACAAAGCATATTACAGGACACTTTTCTATGCAAAATTTTAACTTGTGTGTTTTTAGTTGTGAAAACATTTTGTAATGCTGCATTCTAGTTCTGATTTAGTTTGTTAACATTGAGTCCTCAAAAAAAAAAAAAAAATTTGAGTCCTCAAACTTGCAAAATAGGCGTGCTGTGAGCGAGCATGCTTGGAATGAGTTTTCTTGGTTTTTCAGCTGCGGGTGAAGGTGGCCAGGCCTCTGGACCAGCTGAATTTGTGTAGCTTTCAAGCCCTTCCTCTGTGTCCCACCTGTTGAACCTTTGAGCCATGCTAGGAGGTAACTTCTGTCTGAGCCTTAACTCCTGGCCTTTCCTTCATTAATAAAATTTCCTCCAGTGTTCAGTAAATCTCTACAGATTTATTCATAGTACTTAGCCTTTCTGATTATACTTCTCAAACATTCTTCTAATTCCTCCAAATGCTCCTTCCCCCTCTGCTATGCTGAACTCGCTCACCCTGCTGACTGTGCAATACTGTCTAGGAAGAATGCTCTCACTTCACACGGTTTCAGGGAAGCAGGAAATTCAAGACTGCATGTGGTAATCGTGACAGTTTAGGCAGGACTGGCTTATGCAGTGGATTCTAGACTTTAAGATTCAGCTTGAATCTGGAGAGCTAAAAATGTGAAGGACCTGAGAACAGTTGCTAACCAAGGCTCCCTGGCTACATCCCCAGGGGTAGTGGGGAGGAGGGAGGAGGGAGATTTTTTTCAGATGGGGCATTTGCCCATAGACTAGTGGGATAAATGGCCATTGCTACTCCTCAGTAACTAGGCCTTATTTAGTATAGGAGTTGGGGCAAAAAACCAATGTAACCTGTAGTAGCTTCTGTGGGCTGCACAGTCTGTGTTTATTTGAAAATTATTTTTAGGGGGATGAATTTCATGTTCTGAAATTGCTGTAGCATTTAAACAGGAAGTGTGTCTCTAGATGGAAACAAATATAATCCTGCAAAACTGACTTCATTTTCCTGCACTACGTTCCTGTTGATAGTTCCCCTCATCTCACCCCCTCGAGCCACCCACTGAAAGGAAAGCAAAATAGCTAGGTATGACTTTCACATTCGGGACAAGGGACATTCAAGTGTTGAGAGAGCCTAGGGATGTTTCCCTGTACTTTTAGTGATATTGCTTTGTCTAAGAAATTCTCTTTTGAGTGCTTAAGACTTTGTCCTTTTATTCTGAAAAATCTTAACTCAAAAATAAAACCTGAATCCCTATCATTTAGCTTGCATGAAGGTTTGTTACTAGAGCTGAACACTACTTGTCTGAAATCCCTCATTCTTTATGCCAGCTAAACCCTGGCACACCCTCAGAGCATTTACTGGGGTTAGAGTGTCTGAATCCTGTTTTGGAGCCTCTCATGAGTTCGTAAATATACCTGATTAACTTGTGGAATAGCTGAGAGAATACAGACTCCCAACCTGTTCCTTCAAAGATGTCTGCGTTTTTTCTTAGCCTAATAGATTTGCTTTCTAATTGGCATATTGAGAGAAAAGAAAGGCTGGTTTATTCTCTGCCCTTTTTCCACTGTGAACTCTACCATGAATGCTTTGAGGAGCAGCTCCTGGTTAACCCCAGTGTGTCTGACTCCCTGACTATCATTCTGCTGTCACTGGCCTGAGGCACATGGGCTACCACTTGAGGATGGACAGTGGGATTTGAGAGGGGGTTGGTGGTACTTGTCAGGTCTTCCAAAATACTTATCATTCCTTGTATGTAAATATTTTGATATTGAGACTTCTAAAATGAACTAAAAAATGAGATTGTTTAAGGTGTCACTTTTGAATAAACTATGCTTTATTAGTGCTTTAAATGGCATATTTATTTTAGGTAAGAAATGTTGGTAATATTGGCATACTTCAGATATTGTTATATATGTAAATAATACAGTTCTGCTGATTCTGGGGATTGATCAAAATGAATAGAGAAGTTCTAAGTTCAGGTTAGTATGTTAGGTCAAGTTATGTGTACAGTCTTCTGAGATGATATTTGGAACATTAAAGCTAATTTATTATAATGAAAGTGTAAACTTTGAGGTGTATTAACATTTTCCCCAGAAGTATGATTGGCTTAAAAGATCGACAAGAAGATGT